TCCTCCAGATTTCCACATCAATTTGCGGTATTATTTTTAAAAGTCCTCATTAAAACCCAGAAGCGTTTTTATGAAAATTACTTCTACTGTACACATTTTTGTATGCAATTTTCTTCTGAATACAGACAATTTTACAAAGCTTCATTTCTTTTCTTCTTCTTTTTTTGCATTTATATTCCACAACTCCCCCCCTCCCCGCCGTCCCCAGGAGCGCAAGGTGGTTTATACAGTTCTTCACATCTCCATTTTACCCTCACAACAACTTTGTGAGGTAGGTTAGGCTCATAGTGATTAACTGGCCCAAGGTCATAGGATCATAGAATTGTAACCCTGAGAATAATCATTCAAGTCCAACTCCCTGCAATGCAGGAATATGCAGCTGTCCCATATGGGGATCAAACTTGCAACCTTGGTGTTATCAGCACCACACTCTAGGCATAGGAGACCTTCGGCCCTCCAGATGTTTTGGACTGCAATTCCCATCATCCCTGACATCTGGTCCTATTAGCTAAGGATTGTGGAGTTGTAGGTCAAAACATCTGGAGGGCTGAAGGTTGCCTATGCCTGCTCTAACCAACTGGGCTATATTCACCCAATGAAATTCATGGCTGAGTGGGAATTTCAATCCTGGCCTCCTAGGTCCTAGTCTGGCATGCTAACCACACTCTTGGGGTTTTTTAAATCAGGCTTTACATTTCAATTTTTACCTGTTTGGGATTTGTCATTAAGTATCTTTGACTTTTTAAATATATATAAAGTGACTCCGCAAACGCTGCTGTGTTTCTGTCATATTGTCATTTGATAAGAGGATATGGTCTGGCCCCGGCTCAAGCTGACACCTGCTTTTGTGCCTTCTCTAGAGGATAAGGGTTTTGTTATTGTTTTTTGTTTGCCTTAAAAGAAAGGTTTGTGTGTTTTCTGTCTTGGCTTTCCAGGAAACTGCCCACCATTCCTGTGGTTTTGGCTTCCTTCAACCTTCCTCCTCCTCCTCCTCCTCCTCCTCTGTCAAACAGCGCTCAGGGAACAGTTTTGTAACTTTCCCTGCTGTGGGGCTGATTCTTTTGCCACAGATGCATACACAGTTCCTCCTCACGAGGTCTCCACCCCTCTTGTCAAGGGGTCATTTTTACTTCACCACTACCACCTTCCAGGACCTAGTTGAGCTAATATAACCCTTTCCTGCCCAAGGCATGAATGTTTATGTTGTTTGAGAGATGCTGGCACCTGGGGCACTTCTGAGCATGGGCAGAGTTCCTCCCTTAGGGAAACATTTGCTTACTCCCACCTCTAAAGACATGAGGGTGGAGTGTTCAAACACTGAGTTCATTATTAGGGAACAAACATTTTTTAGTAATTAAGTGGCCCTGTGGGGTCTTTCCCACTCTTAAGGCTGTAGCTCAGTGGTACAGCATCAGCTCTGCAAACTTTTCATGTTGGGTTCAGGTAGGTAGCCGTGTTGGTCTGTTTTAGTTGGGCAGGGGGGAATGTCCAGTAGCACCTTAGAGACCAACTAAGTTTGTTCTGGGTATAAGCTTTCTTGTGCATGCACACTTCTTCAGATTCTTCAGTATCTGAAGAAGTGTAAAGGTAAGGTAAAGGTACCCCTGCCCGTACGGGCCAGTCTTGACAGACTCTGGGGTTGTGCGCCCATCTCACTCAAGAGGCCGGGGGCCAGCGCTGTCCGAAGACACTTCCGGGTCACGTGGCCAGCGTGACAAAGCTGCATCTGGCGAGCCAGCGCAGCACACGGAACGCCGTTTACCTTCCCGCTGGTAAGCGGTCCCTATTTATCTACTTGCACCCGGGGGTGCTTTCGAACTGCTAGGTTGGCAGGCGCTGGGACCGAGCAGCGGGAGCGCACTCCGCCGCGGGGATTCGAACCGCCGACCTTTCGATCGGCAAGCCCTAGGCGCTGAGGCTTTTACCCACAGTGCCACCCGCGTCCCTAGAAGTGTGCACACAAAAGCTTATACCGAGAACAAACTTGGTCTCTAAGGTGCTACTGGACATTTTTTTATTTTTCATGTTGGGGACACACTTTTTAGACATGCTTCATTTCACAACACAGCAATTCAGTTTTACTAGCAAACTGGAGGATAAACTAACCCCTTTCCAGCCCTGGGGGTAGCACAGGGAGCGTTCCCACGACACACCTACACACTGCAGCCAACACACTTAACATGTCGTGACACACAGTTTGGAAAGCTCTGCCGTAGAGAGCCACTGCCAGTCAATACTGAGGTGGACCAGGTGGTCTGAGTCAGTTGAAGGCAGTTTCCAATTTCCCACTCCCCAAAATCGCATCATCTATAAACTGGAGAAATAACACTGGAAAAGTCCATGCACACATACTTTCCCAGTTTTATGTTCTGTTGAGGCATGCATGTAAATCATGCAGGAGGAGGGAAAGAATGGAGCATCCTGGAAGAGGGTGCGCTGTCTGGCTGGCACCCTGAACGTGAGCTCTCAATGCTGCAACTATTTGTTGCATATTCCACTTCTGTGCTGTGATTTCTTCTTCTTCTAAATTTACAAAAACTAAGCATAACACTTAAGTTTGTACGAATACATCAAATATAAAGACAGAGTGGGAGTGACAGTTTTATTACATTTAATAGCATTCATATAAGAAAGGATATTGTTTGATATATTTGACATAACCATTAAGATATTTATTCAAAAAGTTTGCTGATTATCTGTTAAGCGTGAGGTTTTATAGTGGAAAGAGAACAAATTTCTTATTGTGGGGGGAGTCATATAGTTCTCATAATAAACAGCTATAACTATATGTCTATAAACAAAGCACTGAAAAAATATAACAATCTTATCATTCCACTAATTTATAAATAAAGTCACTTTTTCCAGTGCACTTAATATCTCATGTGTTTTGCTGCTTTCTAAAATGTTATGTAAACTTTGTAAGATGTGCAGCTTCCTCTTGTTGTTGTCGTTGTTGTCATTTAAAAATGCCATTTGATTGTTTTCCAGTTTTTTTTGCAGGCATAAACTTGTGGTGATTGGTAAACTTAGATCAAGTTTTAGATTACGTTCTTAATAACAATAGCAAGCTCTGATGCCGAATTGTGACAGCTCTGTTTCCAAAACGGAGCAAGGAAGAAATATGAGGAAGGTGTGTGGCATGCTCTGGGGAAATCTCAAGGCTTGCAGAAGTACAATAACATACCTTGAGGGAAACCCCCTCACACACAAAAACAGCCCGATGAGAACTGAGCATTCTCGGTAACCACAAAATGCTGTTTGTCCGAGGGGAAGGGGACACCGAGAAAATTGAGTGGTGAGTAAAGGTAGAACAAAGTATCCAGGAAAAGAGCATGGTTGATTAGTTAGAAATCTATCTGAACAGAAACAATTCACACAGCAACAGTTTTTTGTAACCCTTGCTTTTGTGACATGTAACCCCAACCCCTGTTAAAGTGGCAGTACACCATTCGCAACCAGCTTCCACAAATGAAAAGCCTTTGTGCGATACTTCTTTGCAGCCTGGCATATTGAGAACATGCGAATGAATTTTTTTTTTTTTTTTTTAATTGTAATGAAATTTATACACTGCTTGATGGTAAAAAAAAAAAATCATCATCATCACTGAAACAGTTTACCAGAAAAAGATAGAACAATAAAATTACCAATTAGCAACAATAATGTAAGACCTTTCCTGGTATGCCCCACGGAGGACCTTAAGGTCCATATATAGCAACACCCTAGAGGTCCTGGGCCCTAAGGAAGTTAGATTGGCTTCAACCAGAACCAGGGCCTTTTCAACACTGGGTCTGGCTTGGTGGAACGCTCTGTCTCTTGAGACCAGGGCCCTGCGGGATCTGATCTCTTTCCGCAGGGCCTGTAAGACAGAGTTGTTCCACCTGGCCTTTGGCTCAGAATCAGTTTGATTCCCTCCCCCTTTTTATTTTTTCTTTCTCCTCCTATGATGAGATTGCTCCCTAATTGTTTTAATATTGTATCTTAATCTTTTAAATTGTATTTTAATCAACTTGTTTTTATTATTGGTTGTTAGCTACCCTGAGCCCGGTCTTGGCTAGGGAGGGCGGGGTATAAATAAAAAATTATGATAATGATGATGATGATGATTATGACTTCTTAAACATTAAAATAACAATAACCTAAAACAGTATCCGAAGAAGTGTGTATACACACGAAAGCTCATACCTAGAAAGCTTTTACTTAGTTCGTCTTTAAGGTGCTACTGGAACATCTTTCATTATATATATATTTTATCTTTCATCATTGTTATTTACTAAAAACAGATTGAAACTTGTTTCTGCTTCCTAAATATGTGGATAGGCTCATCTAAACAAAGGTGTTTTAAGCAGGTGCCAGAAAGAGTACAGTGAAGGCACTTGCCTGATGTCAATAGGCAGGGAGTTCCAAAGTGTATTTTCCCCCCCAGTGCATGAACTCAGACACTTATCTGTTAAAAGGGCATTTAGTGGTGCCTACCACAGTTTTCTTAGATTTCCAAATGTTCTCCCAATCCCCCACCCCCAGCTCTGTCCTGGTTTGAGATTCAATGGCAGTGAATAGATTTAAAACTTTAAAAAATGTGGGTGTGTCAAAAGCTGCAGCCCCCGGAACTGCAGGATTTTTTGGGCAGTATTTCAAAATAAGGGACATTTCCATGTCCATGTTCTGTGGAGTTCTTGTGATCTGGACATTCTCTTGAAATATGGCCGCCTTTTGGCTGGGGAGCCTTGAGAGGGAGAAAACAGCTAATACAGGCATAGGCAAATTCCGGCCCTCCAGATGTTTGGGACTACAATTCCCATCATCCCTAGCTAACAAGACCAGTGGTCAGGGATGATGGGAATTGTAGTCCCAAACATCTGGAGGGCAGGAGTTTGCCTGTGCCCGAGCTAATCCCTTTTGGGCTGCCATTTTGTACCCATGAAACTGACAAAAACAGTGCATATGTTTTATTTACTAGGCCCACTTGCCCATCTCTTTCTGTTTCTTTGATCCCTTTGCAGAGCTCCACTCAGGAGATCGGAGAAGAGGTGGAAGATGGCGTGATCTATAGCATTTCGCTCCGGAAAGTCCAGCTCCACCACACAGCCAACAAGGGGCAGCGATGGCTGGGGGTAAGTGAAGGCTTCCATCCTTTCGCAAGAACAGACAGGGCACTGTGGCCGAAAGTGACTTTTTTATGAGCTTGCAGGTCACTAGTTGTGATGTCACCTCAGAACCTGTGCAACTTTCTGTCTCTGGTGTGGAGGCAACTAAAGTCGCCAGCCTTACAGGGTTGTTCTGAGTGTTTGACCAGTGGAACAGGGCTGTCCTTTGCTAGAGGCATGTAAGCAGAGGCCTTGCCTCTCAGATAATACATGGAAGTTGGACCTGATATGCACTTACTCCTAGTGATGTTACCCGGTGCAACATTTGGAGGGGTAATGTCTCCCCCCACACACACACCTTCACAGCTCAATAATAATAATAATAAATTTTTATTTATACCCTGCCCTCCCCAGCCAAGACCAGGCTCAGGGCAGCTAACAACCAATAATAAAAACAAGTTGATTAAAATACAATTTAAAAAGATTGAAATACAACTTTAAAACATTAGGATGCAGCCTCTTCACAGGAGGAGAAAGGAAAAAGAAAGAGGGGGAGGGAATCAAACTGATTCTAAGCCAAAGGCCAGGTGGAACAACTCTGTCTTACAGGCCCTGCGGAAAGAAATCAGATCCCGCAGGGCCCTAGTCTCATGAGACAGAGTGTTCCACCAGGCCGGAGCCAGTGTTGAAAAGGCCCTGATTCTGGTTGAGGCTAATCTAACTTCCTTAGTGCCTGGGACCTCTAGGGTGTTGCTATATATGGACCTTAAGGTCCTCTGGGGGCATACCAGGAGAGGCGGTCCCGTAGGTACAAGGGTCCTAGGCCATGAAGGGCTTTAAAGGTCAAAACCAGCACCTTAAATCTGACCCTGTACACCGGGAGCCAGTGCAGCTGGAAAAGCACTAGAACGGCTTCCACAACTCCCCTTGAAGCAGCGGCTCATGTAATTCTCTGTCCCTTTCACAGTTTGAGAACGAGTCGGCCTTAAACCTGTACGAGACTTGTAAGGTGCGGACCATCAAAGCCGGGACCCTGGAGAAGCTGGTGCAATACCTCGTCTCTGCATTCAAAGGCAATGATTCCACCTACGTCACCATCTTCCTCTGTACATACCGTGCCTTTGCCACGACCAAGCAGGTCCTGGACCTCCTTCTGAACAGGTAATCTTCTGCCTTCTCTCTCCTTGTGGGGCTCTGTGGGGTAAGACACCAGTTCCTGAGTCCAAACTGCTGTCGGGAAGAGCAGTCAGTGGTGTAGCATGGTAGTCGCTGTGGACTCCTCCAGATACCTAAAAGATCTCCTCTACTACAGTGTGGCATAGTGGTTAGAGTGTCAGCCTAGGACCTTGGGGAGTCCAAATTCCTATGGAGTCATGAAGCTCAATGGAGTGGCCTTGGGCCAGTCACTCACTCTCAGCCCAACCTACTTCGCAGGGGTGTTGTGAGGGTAAAATAGGAAGGTGGTTGTACCATGTACACCACCTTGTGCTTCTTGGAGGAAATTGTGAGTTATAAATGCAATAATAGTAATACCCAGCCAATCACTGCATTCTGCAGGAGAAGGCATTCTGCAGATGACATCCTACCAGAAGGCCTGTCCATCAAAATTAGGCCATTAGTGGGGTGACACTGAGCCTTTGGAACCTCATTTCATTGCACATCAGACAAGTGCCTTCCCTACTTTCTTTTCAGCACCTGCTGACAATGAAAGCCTTCCAAAATCTTGAACCCCACTGGATTGATTTTTATGGATGAGCCATGGTTTTAAACCATTTTTATATTCATAATTGCTTTTTTGGTAAATCACTTCTGGATGAGGAGGAGCAATTCAATGGTGAAATAAACAGTGATTGATAAAAATGGCAGTTATTACCTCAGAAAGGTTATTCTGAAAGCCCTGTACAAAATCCACCACGGATGAGGATGAGAATCTTTATTCTTTTTTTACCCAGTGCAATGTTGTTTTATTCTAAATTGCTTTGTGAGACAGCTCATGGGTGGTGATTCATAAATGAAATGAAACGATAATACAATTTCCATCATGCCTGACCATGCTGGTAGTCGGAACTGTTTTGGGGGCAAGTAATCCCTGAAACGCATGTGTGTGCATCACAAAGCTTTGATTGGCTTTCCCTGGTCCTCTAGATATGGCAAACTGCACCTCCAGGTCAACGGAGACCACCCCAGGCATGCAGTGGACGAGAGGCTGGAGCTGAAAAAGTAAGTGTCTGGCCTGTGAGTGATGGCACAGGGGGTAATCAAGGTAGTACTCCCCAGACGTCATTGGACCTCAACTCCCATCATTCCTTCACCGTTGAACAAACTAGTAGGGGCTGATGGGAGTTGTAGTCCAACAACACCTGGAGGCTACCATCTTAGATACCTTAGCAGGGATGGAGTGCTGGGCAACTTCCTCAGATTTCTAACCAGCATGGCAATATTTTGTGTGCGTGCAAGAGAGACACAGTAAAAGATTCAGAAGTGGTTTACCCCAGGACAGGGGTGAGGAACCCTTCTTCAGCCTGGATTCTGTGCATGGAAGTGGGGGTGAGGGATTGGATCCAGCCAGAGGGCCACAGATCCTCAACTTCCCATGCCCCCCCTCCCGCTGGGGCTGCCCATCTGTCAGTCACCTGATATCACCCCGATGTCAGATGCCCATGTGGACGATCAGCGACCATTGCCTCCTTTGGCTCAGCTGCCTCCGTACCTGGGGTGTCACATACATAAGGCATGGGACTTAGTCAAAAGGGGTGGAGCAATTAGGTCCATGGGCCGGAGGATCACCACCCCTCAAGGTCACCCCCCCCCCTTTTTGGGTGCAATGCAACCCTCTGAAACGCCCATTGGCCTGGCTTGTGGAGGAAGCCCGACTTCTTATTCTTCCTCCTCCTCCTCAGCACCATCTCGTCCATCCTGGGTGCCTGGCTGGATCAGTACTCCGAAGACTTCCGCAAGCCTCCGGACTACGCCTGCCTGAAGCAGCTGATAATTTATGTGCGGCTCAACATCCCAGGTTCAGACCTGGAGCGGAGAGCCCGCATCCTCTTCACGCAGTTCCAGCAGCAGGAGCGGGCCGAGGTGGAGGCGGAAGGTGAGCAGGGCTTCTCTCTCTCTCTCTTTCTCTCTCTCAGCTTAGCCTACCTCACAGGGTTGTTGTGGAGATAAGATAGCAAACAGGCATGGGTGGGGCAGCCTGCCTGAACTCCATAGGCAAGAAAGGCCAGGTTAAGATTAAGCAGCTGCATTCCAGTGCATTGGCTGGTCGTTCCACATACCCCAGGGCCGCTAACGCTGACTGGCAGCAGCTCTGCAAGGTCACAGGCAGGCAGAGAGGATTCTCCCCACCACCACCCCAATTCCGTTTATCTGGATATCCCGAGGACTGGACTTTGAGCCTTGCAGATGCAAAACTTTTGCCCTACAGCTGAGCGATGGTCCCCTTCCATGATAAAGGCCAAACTTCACCAGCCTGGTGCCCTCCAGAGATTTTGGACTACAGCTATAGTCCAGAATGGCCATTGGTGGTTGGGGTGGGTGGGACATGTGCAGGCAACCCTTGACTTGTGCAGGGGTTGCATTCCAGGACATCATGGAGCACACATAAGCTTGTTATGCCCCCATTGTGGCTGGTCCAAAAATGGCCCATGCATGCATAGTCACATGTTCTTTGAACACATACAAAATCAGGGGTGCCTATAGTCTCTAGTCTGACTGGCAGCAGCTGCCTCCAGGCCTTCAGCTTTGGAGATGGTCTCAGCCTGGCTTCACGAGACCCTTTTAGCTGGAGATGCCAAGGATTGAATTCTTCCTGCGAAGGGTGTTCTCTGCCACTTCCTTTTATAGCCCCTCTGATCTGTGCTTAGATTGGGCTGGGGGTTGGGGAGCAATGGCAGATGCTCTGTCCTCTGCTGGCCTTCCAGCCAGTTGCTCCATGCCTTGACTCTGTGCCCTTGTCTCTCCCAGCTGTGGACCATGCCAGCTGCACCCTGCGGCTAGAAGAGGAGAATGGGCTAGGAGAAGGCAAGCTAGATTTCCTCTCCTTCTCGCCGGAGATGGTGGCCGAACAATTCACACTAATGGATGCCGTGAGTGTCTGATTCAGCCCGGGCGTGCTTTCTGGGACAATCCCCACCCCCACCCACTCTCTTACATAAGATATTACTCTGAGTTAGATTGCTGCATGGGGCTGGCCTTGAAGACTTTTTTTGGAAACTGCAACTAACCCAGAGTTCAGCAGCCAGATTTCCCACTAGGACTAGATGGAATGAGCATATGACATGGGTACCAACCTGGCTGCACTGGCTATCAGTTTCTTCCAGTTTCAATTCAGTTTTGGCTCATAAAGCCTTAGGCAGCTTAGCCATGCCTCTGGGTACCAGTCGCGGGAAACCGCAGGAGGGGAGAATGCTGTTGTGCTCAGGTCACCCTTGTGGACATCTGGCTAGTCGCTGTGCAAAAAAGATGCTAGACAAGATGCATCCAGCAGGATGTTCTAATGTGCTTATGTTCCTCCTCTTCCAAAACCCTTGGAAAGGGCATTAAATTTCTAAATACAGTCATACTTCGGGTTACAGACGCTTCAGGTTGTGCATTTTCTGGTTGCACACCGTGCCGAACCTGGAAGTACTGGAACGGGTTACTGCCGGGTTTCGGCGCATGCACAGACCCACTAAATCACGCTTTGTGCATGCACAGAAGCACCGAATCGCAACCCACACATGCGCAGACGTGGCGCTGCAGGTTGCGAACATGCCTCCTGCACAGATCACGTTCGCAACCCGAGCCTCCACTTTAAATGAATGACAACTTGCCCTCTTCAAGCCACCATCCTTTCTCTTCCTGATCCTTGTCTTAATGCCTCTCTGTTGCAGGAGCTTTTCAAAAAGGTGGTTCCCTATCACTGCCTCGGCTGCATCTGGTCCCAGCGGGACAAGAAAGGCAAGGAGCACTTGGCCCCCACCATCCGGGCGACCGTCTCCCAGTTTAACCGTGTCACCAACTGCATCATTTCAACTTGCCTTGGGGACCGGGCCCTGAAGCCACAGCAAAGAGCCAAGGTGGTGGACCACTGGATTCAAGTAGCTCGGGTAGGTTGCTTGGCTGTAGACCAAAAAAATAAATAAATAGTATTGTGGTTTGAGATGGGACTCAATCCAAAGTATGTTTTGGAATGGGGCATTTCAAGAACATGGGTGGTTGTTGGTTTTTTTGGGGTGTGTGTTTCTTTTCAATCAAGTTTCTAGCCCTCACCACAGGAGACAGTGACTGCCACCAACCTGGGTGGCTTTAAAAGAGGATTAGGCAGATTCGTGGAGGAGAAGGGCTACCAACAGCTACTAGCCACAATGTCTATGCTCTGCTTCCACTGCCAAGAGGGAGGATGCCTCTGAACTCCAGTTGCTGGGGATCACAAGCAAGTCCTGCTCTTAGGCTTCTCAACAGGGTACCTAGTTGGCCAGTGTGAGAACAGGATGCTGGACCAGTGGCCTAATCCAGAAGGCTCTTCTTACATTTTTACGTTCTTCGCTACTAACACTGCTGTTAAGTGCAGCAAAACTCAACATAGGCAACAAGTTTTTAGTTTGTTGCTTACCTGTAACCAGGGAGTTTTAATTTGCATTTCCTTTTGACTGCAGCATTTGGGTCACCTAAATGCAAATCTCTCTCTCTCTCTCTCTCTCTCTCTCTCTCTCTCTCTCTCACACACACACACACACACACACACACACACACGTATATGCCACAGAACTTAATCCATTCCAGGAAATTAAGATAGCAGTTCAAATGCTGTGCAGAGGATCCAGGAAACAACTGCCTAACCCTTAACCCACAATAAGGGTTTTTTTTAACCTCTGTGTGTGCATCTCCTCTTTCTAGCTCCTTCTAACGCCCACTGTTTTTCCTTGTGCTCCTCCAGGAATGCCGGATCCTAAAGAATTTCTCTTCCCTCCGGGCCATTCTCTCTGCCCTGCAATGCAACGCTGTTCACAGGTTGAAGAAGACATGGGATGAGGTCTCCCGGTGAGTAGGGTATGAAGGAAGAATTTGGGTGCAGGGGGAGAAAGTGCATGCAATGCAGATCCCTCTTGGGTGTCAGCACCACCAAGTCTTCCATCTCAGATCTTGCCTCTGCTACACATTCACTGGGCGGTTGCAGGCAAGGCAACTGTTATTTCAAACTCATACCTGCAGCAAAGGGATAATAGCATTGGCTTGCTGCACAGCGTGATTGCTGTTGTAAGGATTTCTGAAATCCATGCATATCGAAGTGCTTCCTGTGAAGCATCTTGAAGCAAATCCACAATACGGTGGTGTCTATAAAAAACAGTGACATGGGAAATATAGGAGGCTGTCTGATACTGAGTTGGAACATAGATCCATCTAGTTCAGTGTTGTCTACACTGACTGGCAGCAGCTCTCTGGAGTGTCACATTAGGGTTCTTTCCCAGCCCTACTTGGAGATGCCGTTGGGGGTTGAACCTGGGACTTTCTGCATGCAGAGCAGGTGCTCTGTAACTGAGCTATGGCCCTTCCTGTAATTGACTAGAGCAATCATGGACTTGTGAAATTGTGGAGTTGGAAGGGACCCCAAAGGTCATCTAGACCAACCCGCTGCAATGCAGTATTGTGTTATGTAAAAGTGATTTAAAACATTACATGTATAAAATACAGTTAAAGCAATGGCATATGTAAAAATGTTTTCAAAACCAATATAGATACCAAGTGGGATAGAAATCTCCAGCTTAGAAGACTTGTTGAAAGCAGAAGTACCTTGTTTTAGTGATACCCTTATTCCCTCTTGACAGAGAAAGCTTCCGCACTTTCCACGAGCTGTCAGAAATCTTCTCAGACGAGAACAACCATTCCTTGAGTCGGGAGCTTCTCATTAAGGTAAGATGCCTGCTTTTAAAATACAGTGGTACCTCTGGTTACAGACGCTTCAGGTTACAGACTCCGCTAACCCAGAAATAGTACCTTGGGTTAAGAACTTTACCTCAGGATGAGAACAGAAATCATGTGGCGGCAGTGGAAGGCCCCATTAGCTAAAGTGGTGCCTCAGGTTAAGAACAGTTTCAGGTTAAGAACAGACCTCCAGAACGAATTAAGTTCTTAACCTGAGGTACCACTGTACCTGCTAATAATAAAAAGTAAAGAATTCTGCAAAGACACATGTGCTTGATCGGTTTGGTCCCACTGATGCTTGAAAGCTTTATTTCATTTGCCCTGGGCAGGAATGTTGTGAAGTGACCGATTGATGAGAACTGTTACCTGTTTTGGGGTGAAGCCAGGTGGAAGATTTTATTGGGTGACAGGCATTCAGGCATTTGGAATATGCTTTTCTTTGCTGGGGGTGTGCAAGAAATAATGTCTACAGCTTTACCCTAAAATCCTCCTATGTGCAGCACTGATTGGTCAGTGTCCGTGATGTTGGCATTTGGCTGTTTGTTTTATACATCCGTTGTCATGGAAGTTGCTAAGTGAGACTCCCACCCTCTTTCCATTACTCATGTCCTTACCTTTGGAGATGTTTTAGTCTGGCAACCACTCCTCAGGGGTTTTTTCCTCCACTAATTAATGAATTAAATACAAAGCAGCTGGATTCTGCAAAGACACAGCAAAGTTGTCTCTTAGAGGATCTGAAAGGGTTTTTTAAAGGGGTAGGCCGAAAATCACCACTCACTTCTGTGGTCCATTTATCCTCTGTGAAAGTGGAGTGGTTGTGTGATTTCTCCTCTCTCTCTGGGCAGCTTGGAGATAGGTCACAAGCAATGGCGTAACTAGCTGCTTGGGTGTCCGGGGTGGCACACACACCCTGCACCTGGGGGGCGGGGCAAGCCAGGGCAGGGCACACTGCACAAAGCCTCTCCGCTGCCTCCCCCTCAGCTGTAGGGTGGCTGGGGGAGAGGTGGTGGACAGACGCAAGCCCCACACTACTGTTTCAGGCAGCGCAGAGCCTGCAGGTGCCCAAGCCACCACGTCACTCCCAGGAGAGCCGCATGGCTCGGGCACGCTTTAGGCCCCGCTGTAAGTGCCGGCCCCCGCAGTGTGGCGCCCAGTGCCAGCCACATTTAGTTGTGTTTGTTGACTGAACTAAAAAGTTTCGTGAGCCCAATTTTTATTTATTTATTTTAAAAACTCATATTTTTGCCATTTTGTCACACACACCCCAGTGATGACACCTGGGGCGGCCTGCACCCACCGTACCCCCCCCCCTTCCTATGCCACTGGTCACAAGGTAGATGAGGATTTCTTGGGAGAAATCCCTGGGTTGTTTGAAGTAGATTAGCAAAGATATCAGATAAAAAGACAGTTGTATAAAAAGATTAGCAAAGATATCTGAGTGTCTCAGACTAGGGCCTGGGAGACCAGGGTTCAAATCATCCCCCCTCAGTCACGAAGCAACCTGAGTGTGACAAGCTTCAAGGAATAACTCTCAGTAAATAATGGATGGCTTTTAACTCCCCGGCATAATGCTCAGCAAAACAGTTACCTTAAAAACTCACAATAACTTGGGGCGAACAAATCAGGATGGAGGCTTAAGAAACAGGATGTCTGGAAGTGACCTGAGAACCAGAAACCTTTTGTTGATCTCCTGTAAATCCAGAGAGAGATCTTCCCACCCCCCTCTTCTGCTAGGAAATGGGTCGTGCCTCCTTTAATGCTGTTGCAGCAAACCGGACAGAGACAGCTGTTTTTAGATTCTTCTCTGCTTGGCTTGGGCACCTCCTGGACTCAGCAGCTAAGGAGTCCCCTGTGAGGATGATGAGGGTGAGAGATAAGTACCAGGGAAGAGAATATCATAGAGTCGTAAAGTTGGGAGGGACCACGAGAGTCTTCTAGTCCAACCCGCTGCAATGCAGGAATCTTTTGCGCAATGTGCAGCTCAAACCCATGATCCTCAGATTAAGAGTTATCATCTGGTTCTCTACTGATTGAGTCATTCCAGAGGGATTCCCTCTTCTTATCAGCAAACTGCAATCAAAGCTTTCCCAGACTTACTGCTCATCCATCTAAGCAATGGGTGGGGTTTGCAACCCGGACCCTGGGTGACACCCCACCTTGTAGTCAGTTTTTAAATGCTCTCCTGCTTCCATGATTCCATTAACCCAGGATTCCTGCAGTTGATCCAGGCTTTTCTTGCACAGTTTCTGCAGAGTGTAGATCATAATCTGGCCTCTACTGATCATTTGCTCTGATTTAATGGTTGTGTGCTTACACGAAAGTGAGCATTAATCTGCTTGCACTGTGCGACTACGCATCTCAGAATCATAGAATTTTAGAGCTTAAAGGGTCATCTAGTCATACCCCCTTTAATCAGTCGTCCACATTTTTCAAAGCATTTCCCCATCACTTCCCTAACTGCAGAAAGCCTGATTCTTCAAGCCTGCAAACACCTTAATCTACTTTAAACGTGCATGAACAATACAACTGTGCATATAAAAACCATTGCATAGGAAATATAGGAGGCTGCCTGATACTGGTTGTAAGTCAGACCGTTGATCTATCAAGCTCAGTATTTCCTACGCTTGCTGTCAGCAGCTCCTCAGGGGTTAAAGCAGGAAACCTTTCTACCAGGGCTGTCCAACTTTTCATACTGGGTGGGCGGCAATACTATTTTGACATGGGGGTACCTAGGCCAAAATTTGATGCCCCCAGCCCTTGTGCTGCCTTCTCCAAACCAGCACCTTGCTTACCTAGCTTTGGGAAGGCAGTGCAAGGAGGGTTTTTTTTGGGGGGGAGTGTTAAATGTTGTCAAGGGTTTCCAGAAAAGGTTTTGAGGTCCACCTGTGGCCCTTGGCTGTACATTGGGCCACACTAGCCCTACCTGGAGATACCATTGGGGATTGAACCTAATGCACCCACAGCATATGCTGTAGCACTGAGCTGTGGCCCTTCCCCTAAAAACGAACTAAGATTCTAGTCCTTGTGGTTCTGAATAAGAGGTTGAAATAAATAAGAAGCTGTCTTCTACTGAGTCAGATCCTCATTATACGGAGCCAAATGCTCAATCCATCTTGCTCACTATTGTCTACACTGACTGGCAGCAGTTCTCCAGGGTTTCAGGCAGGGGGGGCATAGTCTTTTCCAGGGCTACCTGGAGATTCCACCAGGGACTGAACTGTGGCCCTCCTGCCACTCTTGTTTATTGATGATTACTGCAGTCATCTCGAAAGAAAGCTGTACACCCAGACTCTCATATTAATGGTTCCCTGTCTCTCTTTCCTTGGCAATGCAGGAGGGGACCTCCAAGTTCGCCACCCTAGAGATTAACCCAAAGAGGGCTCAGAAACGGCAGCAGCAGCAGCGGGAGATGGTGAGTCGAATATGGGGTTTTATAGGACTTTTTACCAGAGAGGCTGTGTGGTTTAGTGGTTAGGGTGCCAGACTAGGACTTGGGAGGTCATGATTCAAATCCTCACTGGAAGCTCACTGCGTAGCCTCAGGCCAGCCTAACCCACCTCACAGGGTTGTTGTGTGGGTAGAACAGGAAGAGAACTATGTATGCCACCTTTAGCTCCTTGGAGGAAAGATGGGATATAAATGCAATAAAGAAATACCAAGCCAGATTCATAAGTCTGTTCTAATTGGAGATATCAGCAGAATTTCAGATTCTTGGTTAGAGAAATAGGTTTTTCATTTCACCTTCTCACTTGATCCTTCTAAGCCAGGGGTAAGGAACCTCTGTGGCCCTCCAGGACTCAAACTCCCATCAGCCCTTGCTGCTAGCACTGGCCAATAATTGGGAATGATGGGAGTTGTAGTCCAGCAATGTCTGGAGGGCTAGAGGCCTGCTGATCTAAGTTGCAGCATTCCTTTCTGCTAGCAAAAGATGGAAGGCTGCCCCTATAGTGAGAGTGGAGGGAATACCTCTTCCGAGATCAAGCCCGGGGGACCTTGGTGCACTCCATATTTTGTGGAACCTTTGGTCCTGATGTGTGGTGGTGGAAATCCTCTTTATTACAGGCGGGGAAGCTTTGGCCCTCCAGACATGGCTGAACTACATTTCCCATCAGCCCCTACAAGCATTGCCAGTGACCCAGAAACATAGGCAGTTGAAGTCCAGAGGGCCAAAGCTTCCTTATCTCTCATTTTTTAACCAACTCCCATGTTGGGACTCTCTGGACACGGTGGCTCTCTCACTGATCTTAACCCCTTGGCTCCTGTTACAGGGCGTGATGCAAGGCACCATCCCTTACCTGGGCACCTTCCTCACTGACTTAGTGATGCTGGACACAGCCATGAAGGACTACGTGGATGTAAGTATCACCAAGCCTTCCCCCCGCCCTGCTCCCTCTTTCAAGCAAACTAATCTTTCCTTTGCCACATTCCCTGTTGCGCTAATTTTTTTCCTGTAAAGAAATGGCACACCACTGCATAATGTTTCCATGATGGAACCTTATAAGGTCTCCCTAAGAGTCTCACATGAGCAGATCTTTTTACCTGTAGTCGCACTGCCCCCTGGTGGACATTTGTAGCTTCCTACAGATTTTAAAGGGGTGCCTAAATGCATTTTTTTGTTATTGGGAAACCATTTCAACTGCAAGCCTAAACAGCATCACCAAAACGAGAACAGCCCTTGCTCATGAGGGGCGTACAGTTGAAAATCTGAAATGCAAGTGCCGTTGAAAAATGAGTCTTGTGATTTTTTCCATCATCTCTGACCGTTACACAATGCTGCCTGGGCCTGATGGGACTCCAGCAACATTTGGAGGGCCATAGGTTCCTCACCCCTGTTAAACAGAGTACAGCAAAGACTTGTGGCTCATTGGTAGGGCATCTGCTTTGCATGCAGAAGGTTCTGGGTTCAAGTCCCTGGCATCTCCAGGTTCATTTCATAATCCTTCTTTTTTACGAATCACATCATGCTTAGAACTCTCCCTTCTAAAAAGCAACAATCCAATGATGGTTGCAGAAAAGTACAGTTTTCTGATTAGATCCTTGAATCTGTTATTTTTGCTGCAAACTTACCTATTCTTAAAGTTTTTCCACATTTTGGATACTCAGAAATTGAACCGGTGGGCAGCTGGGGACAGGGGTGGGGCATTCGCTGGGTTTTAACGACCTGCTTTTCTTTTCTTTCAGGCTGGCCTGATCAACTTTGAGAAAAGGAGGAAGGTGAGAACTGCTGTTGTTTTTAACCAACTTCATGATGAATAGCAAACGTTTTATAGGTGGCTTTAAATTCTCAATAAAGTGCAGCAGCCGTAAACAAGGGAGAGAATAAAACCAGCATACCAAACCGAGGCTTCCAAGCACTGAGCATTCTCAATGGCCATAGAATTTCTCTATAGCTCAGTGGGGTTGGGGAACCAGAAATTGGAGGTGGGTGGGGGGATGGAATGGAGTATACTGGGAGGAGGGTATGGCTGGCTGGGGGGTGGAGTGGAGTATGATGGGAAAGTGGCTGGCAGGCACCCTAAATGACAGCACTCTGCCCTGTTTCATTAAGACTTTTTATACGCTTTGTGACTTATCAGCCAGGTCTGATAGGAGTTGTAGTCCAGAAACTTTGGAAGGCTGTAGGTCAGGGAAGGGTGCCATAGGACCCCTTACAGTGATATTTCTGGGCTAGCAAGGAAGTGTATGGAGAGCCAAGTTTAACCCTGCTTTCCCCCACCCCCACTCTCCACCTGCAGGAGTTTGAAGTCATCGCCCAGATCAAACTGCTCCAGTCAGCCTGCAACAACTACAACTTCACGCAGGAAGATCGCTTTGTGGTCTGGTTCCATAGCATCGAGCGGCTCAGTGAGGCAGAGAGGTGAGCCCTCTCCTTTCCCCCTCATCTCAAATATTAAATCACGTGGGGCCGCCCCCAGTGTGCTTCCCCAGTCCAAGCAAGGACCTTTGCTGAACACTAAAGATCACAGGTGGGGAGAGGGCTCTGTGCTTACGTCCTGCTTGCAGGCTTCCCATTGGGGCATCTGGTTGGCCACTGTGAGAATGGGATGTTGGAGTAGATAGGCCATTGGCCCTGATCCAGCAGGACTCTTGTGCCCTACCTCCACTGTCAGAGGTAATACCAGTTACCGCAAATCACAAGTGGGGAGAGTGGCCGTTGTGCTCAGTTCCTGTACTGGGGCTTCACATTGAGGCCACTGTTTGGCCTGATCCAGCACCAGTCTCTTCTTACATCCTGCTTAGTTGGGGTGCTTTCGATAGGAGGCTCCATTTACAGCTTCATTGCTGTTCCTCTTGAGGACCAGAAACTTGTCCTTTTTTTAAAAAAGGATTACGTATCAGGTAGGGTAGGGGTGAGGGACGCGGATGGCGCTGTGGATTAAACCACAGAGCCTAGGACTTAAAAGGTCGGCGGTTTGAATCCCCACAACGGGCTGAGCTCCCATTGCTTGGTCCCTGCTCCTGCCAACCTAGCAGTTCGAAGCACGTCAAAGTGCAAGTAGATAAATAGGTACCACTCCGGCAGGAAGGTAAATGGCATTTCCGTGCGCTGCTCTGGTTTGCCAGAAGCGGTTTAGTCATGCTGGCCACATGACCCAGAAGCTTCCTCGGCCAATAAAGCTGGCTCCCTCGGCCAATAAAGTGAGATGAGCGCAGAGTCAGTCACGACTGGACCTAATGGTCAGGGGTCCCTTTACCCTTTACCTTTAGGGTAGGGGTGAGGAACCTTTTCCAGTCAAGTGTTGTGCATGATCATTATCAACCTCCCAGGGATAGCAGGTCAGTGGTGGGCAAGGCCAGAGGTGAAAGTGAGTAGAGCAACAGGTATCACTCTCACCTTTTACACTGTAGGCTATGCCCACCCCCACATCTCTCCCTGTAGGCAGGCAAGAGGCATTGCCCCCTTTCCAAGAGCAGGGCTGGTGAAAGGGTGTGGCCTGTGAACGGGAGGGCAGAGCCCAGGAAGAGAGTCTGGGGGGTCGGACAGAGAAGCCTGGGAGGCCACTTTGGAACCCCTGGGCCTGAAGTCTCCCCCATCCTGCAGGAGGGTGAAGAGAACAGCTCTTGAGGCAAGAGGCTCAAAGTTGATGCAAACACCAACCAGTGTCCTTTCTCTCCGTTACTTCCAGCTACGGCCTCTCCTGTGAGATTGAGCCCCTGTCGGAGTCAGCCAGCAACACCCTGAAGGCGAAGAAAAACACAGGGATCATCAAGCGCTGGAGCGAGTAAGTCCTTGTGGATCGATCCCAAAGTGCAGTGTTGCTCCAGGGGCATCTCTGGGCCCTCATTTTAAGAGCCAGCTTAAAACACGTTGGGGCTGGAGAGCAGCTTTGAGATACACCCTGGCTGCAGAAATTGTTTATTGTTTATGTCTTTATTTAGAACACTCATATCCTGCTCTTCAGCCAAAATGGCTCCCGGAGCAGCTTATAATACAATGAAAACAAGACAGTCCCTGCCCACAGGTTTCCAAAAAACAGCCCTCCACAACACATAAGGAAAAAGGGACAAGGAGGGAAGAGGAAAATAAAAATCTAAACTCAGGCATAGACATTCCTATAATGACCATCCCGCACAGTTCAGGGGCAGGAGGTGCCCTGTGGAGCTGGCATCTCACACCAGAGTGTACCATTGCTGCAGTGGCTGCCTTCAGGTGAAGTCAGGAGGCGTCATCAAGAACTTGAGGAGACAGGAAGATGCTGCCTTTATACTGAGGCTAGCAGAACACTCTCTCTCTCTCTCTCTCTCTCTCTCTCTCTCTCTCTTTCTCTTGCTGCATGAGGCACAAGCCAAGAATGTACATTGGCCCCTTCCAGAAGCCAACTAGACTGGAGTTGAATTTTTCCTCCAACTTTGGGGATGGGCTAGCTTAGAGGGGTTACTTGTAACAGTGGGTTGTCGGGCATTGTTGGACTACAATGCCCATCACCCCCCAGCCAGCTTGGTCATGGATGATGGGAGTTTGCAGTCCAACCACATCTGGGGACCCAAAGCTAGTTAATGCAATTTTAATTAACATCCTACTGGCTTGAGTACCCTTGTTTTATTTTAAGCCCAAGGCCTGTAGGGATTGAACCTGGGACCTTCTGAAGGGGGAATATAAACCTTGGTCTCCCGGGTCCTTGTCCAACACTCCAACCACTACATCACCATGGCTCTAGCCAATATTATCTACACTGACTGGCAGCAGTCTCTGCCAAGCCTATCTGGAGATGCTGGTGACTGAGCATGCAATTTTCTGCTTGCAATGTTCTGCATGCTAGAGCTCTTCCTTTAAAAACAACGTAAGATCCTAGTCCTCATGGTTCTGAACTGAAGCCTCATTTTAATAGACTACTGGCCTGGCTTAGAATGTTCCTGTCTCGCACAATACTGTCTACACTCACCGGCAGCAGCTCTCCAGGGTTCGAGGCAGGGAGCGTAGATGTCACTGGGGAGTGAACCTGGGGCCTTCTGCCTTGAGCCACCTGGGCCCCTTCCTGAAAGCTGCTTATTTGCTTTCCTTGTTCTTCCCAGCCGGCAGGCCCCCAGCACCGAATCCTCCTGTGCCAGCGGCAGCTCCCACTCCAAGTCCTTTGACCAGCTGAAGTGCGGTCCCTACCTGTGCAGTGGGGACATGGCTGACTCCGTCAGTGTCACGTCGGCCGGCTCCAGCAGCTCCGACGTGGAGGAGATCAACATCAGCTTCATCCCTGACTCTCCCGAGGGTCAAGAGAAGAAGGTACAAGACAGCGTCCTGCTAGGCCCCGCTTGTGCCCAGGGGGGCAGGTGGCAGGTGTGCCCCGTTGTCGGGGGAGAGGCCTACTTTCCCTTTGGGGACGGGGGGCAGGTTTTGGAACGGGCAGGCCTGGAAATCCTTCTGTCCCAAGGCAAACGCCTGTAGGGAGCAGGCTTCAGAGGCTGTTGGTGGTGGGCGGGGCGGGTGGGCGGAGCTGATATGAGCCCCTCCCCTCCTGTGCTCGAGGTGGGAGGGGCCTGTGTCTTGCAAGCCGCCGCGTGTTTCTGAAATGTAATTTATCCCGCCCCATTAGTGTTACCTTCCCGCCCTGGACGCCCAGACGTTCAACTCCGCTTCTGGCCAGGAGGGGGTGCCCCTGAGCACTGCCTGTAGTAGAAAGGTGATTTTTCTCAATAAGGAATACCTGGGGAGGCAGAAAAGGAAACACCCGGTGTGTTGCAGGAGGCTTAAATAAAGCCCTTTAATTCTCTCCCCTCTTTCTCTCCTCCCTCCGCAGTTCTGGGAATCCACCTCGCTTTCCTCCCTGGACACCTCTGGAATCGGCTCGAGTTCTAGCAGCGCCTCCTCCTCCTCTGTCTCTTCCACGCCAGTGACGGCCTCCCGCACCCACAAGCGCTCTGTCTCAGGCATCTCCAGCTACTCCTCTCTCTCCTTGCCCCTCTATAACCAGCAAATTGATGACTGTTGCATCATCCGGGTCAGCTTGGCCGTGGAGAATGGAAACATGTACAAGAGCATTCTGGTGAGGGTCTTTTGATGAGGAGGGGTCTTTGTTTTTCTGTGAGGTGGGTAGTTGGGCGCACTTCGAAATCCGGAGGGTTTTTTCGGAAAGCCTTTTGGGTGCAAATGTAAAGAGCCTGCCTAGGATATCTGTTCACTAAATGTTCTGTGCTAGTCCTTAGGAAGCTGCTTTAAACCAAGTCAGACCATCGGCTCATCTGCCTTTGTACTTCCTACACTGACCAGCAGAGGCTCTCTAGGATTTCAGGCAGGGAGTCCTATCTCAGCCCTCCTAGGGGATGCCAGGGATTGAACTGGGACCTTCTGCAGGCAAAGCAGATCCTCTGCCCACTGAACTCTAGATGCTCCTGATGAACGTTGGAAGCTGCCTTATACCGAGTCAGACCATGGGCCGATTTTGCTCAGTACTGTCAACACTGACAGGCAGTAGCCTTCCAGAGTTTCAAGGAAGGTTACCTCCAAGCCCTTCCTGGAGGTGCCATGGGCAAGTGAACCTGGGGCCTTCAGCATTCAAGAGTAGGTGCTTGCCTAAATGTGGGTTTTTGTTTTTACATTAATATTTTCCAGGTAACCAGCCAGGACAAGACCCCGGTTGTGATCCGTAAAGCCATGGCCAAACACAATCTGGATGGGGACCGGCCGGAGGACTATGAGCTCATTCAGATCATCTCAGAAGAGAGAGGTGAGGTGCCGTGGTTACTTAGCCACGATTATGGCTATGTTTTCCCTCCACTGTCAGAGGCAGCGTGCCTCTCAACGCCAGTTGCTGGGAATTGCAAGTCAGAAGAAGTGCCGCTGCAGTTAAGAGTCCTGCTCGTGGCTTCCAATTTGGGTACCTGGTTGGCCATGCTGACCATTGGCCATGCTGGCTGGGGCTGGTGGGAATTGGAGCTGTTCCCCTCTCTGTAAAGGTAAAGGGACCCCTGACCATTAGGTCCAGTTGTGGCTGACTCTGGGGTTGCGGCGCTCATCTTGCTTTATTGGCCGAGGGAGCCGGTGTACAGCTTCCGGGTCATGTGGCCAGCATGACTGAGCTGCTTCTGGTGAACCAGATCAGCACACAGAAACGCCATTTACCTTCCCGCTGGAGCAGTACCTATTTATCTACTTGCACTTTGACGCGCTTTCAAACTGCTAGGTTGGTAGGAGCAGGGACCGAGCAATGGGAGCTCACCCCGTCACGGGGATTCAAACCGCCAACCTTTTGATCAGCAAGTCTTAGGCTCTGTGGTTTAACCCACAGTGCCACCCGCGTCCCCTCTCCGTAGCATCTCCTTAAAAGCCCAGTCCTTGAACCTGACTTCTTCTCTCTCTCTCTCCCCCTTGTCCCCCTAGAACTGAAAATCCCGGACAACGCCAATGTCTTCTACGCCATGAACTCTGCTGCCAACTACGACTTTGTGCTCAAGAAGAGAGGCTTCTCCAAGGCCGTCAAGATCAAGCATGGATCGAGCTCCACGCTGCCACGGATGAAGCAGAAAGGCCTCAAAATTGCCAAAGGCATCTTCTAACCCCTGGGGCAGAGGGTCGCCTGCCCCACCCACGGGCTTTGCCCCCTCACCAACTCAGTGCTGTTCCACTCTTGGCTACCAGTCTGTCTTAAACGCCATGGGGTTGGGGGCAGGTGTGTGAGAGATGATGTGATTGATCTCCCCAGCCCGGCAGCCTTGACCCTTTTCTCCATCTTGCCAAGGAGGTGCCCCAGCCGAAACCCTGGAAATTGGAAGCGGGATCCCTTAGCAGCAACGCCGCTCCTGCACGTTGCTCTTCGCGCTTTCTCTCTCTCTGCGTTGGCAGCAGCTGGCCCCCCTTGCCTTTAAATCAGGTCTGCATCTCGTCTTTTTTAAAAACAACAACAACGAGGAGGACATTTTTATTTTCCATTTAAAAAAACACACAACACCTTTCCATGGTGCAAGCCAAGCTTATGTGGCTGCCTGAAGCCATAGCCTGCCTTAGGTGTCTACACCGATCAGCGTGGTGCTGCTAAGGGGGTCTTGCTTTCTCCGTTCTCTGCTAAGATGCACCCGAGCAGAGGCTGGGGACTGGGAGTTCAGGAGATTGGGGCAAGCCCATGTGTGGGACAATGACTGTCTTCATCTTCCATGCTCCTGGATACAGTTCCTTCTTGGTTGTCCTGGTCAAGCGAACTCACTGCCTGGAATTGGTCCAGAAATGCACTTTTTTGTCCTCAACAGGAGTCTGAAACTTTCCCCCACCGCTGCCTGTCCACATGGAGGGCCCTGTGGATTCCTCGTGTGGATTTAAGGCCACCAGCGAAGGTGGATCCTGTGCCAGAATAGGGTCAACCCACTCAAGACTTTTTTGAACTTTTCCAAACTCCTTCCCCCTCCCCTTTCCATTAAGAGCCTCCACCAAAGATCAAAAATGGCAAGCGTGTTTCTATGACAAAACGCCTCCGCTGGCCAACAGAGGCAGGAGTTGAAGGAAGTTGGTTTCTGTACAAAACACACTGTAAATAAGGACCTTGGGTGGAGAGAAGGATGAGGTGGGAGGAGGGCTAAGTGATTTGCTCTAAAGGGTTGCAAGGAAACTGCCCCCTCCCTCTTGGGAAGTGCCACTCCAGTTTTTTTCTTGTGTGTGTTTAATGGACTAAGAACCTTTGACAGTGAAGTAGGGTCTGTGGACTATTGTCTGATGTGATCAGATTTTTTTTTGTAAAGAGAATCTCAAAATGAATTTACTAATGTTCCACCCCACCCCACCCCACTCCCAATATTTATTGCTTGTGTAAATAGACTGGTTGGATTTGTACATTTTACTAACACTGTTTAAATATCCGTTAGCGTGGTCAGTTTTATGTTTTTGAATTGTGTGAGACCTTTTGAGTGTGTGAATGGGGGAATATGCTACATACTCCTTTGTTGAAACTTACAGGACATTTCAGACAGGGTTTCTTGGGTGGAGTCAAAAGTGCATTAGCACAAGGAGGGTGAACCTTTGCCTTCCCCACCCCCCAAAGTTGCTGGACTCTTAACTCACATCGTTCCTGACCACTGCCTATTTTATCTGCAGGTGTCCCCCAACCCACCTCTGCCCCCCCCACATGGCAAGGGAAAATGTCTTCTAATTTTATCTTTACCACTAAAATATTGCCACGAGCTTTTCACTAAACACTATGAAGAGGCCATGCAGATCCTCTCCAAGCTCCAAAATTCTGCTGCCTCCTTTGCGCTCTGTGTGAGCTTGCGTCTGTCTGTGTCACTGTGGTTATACGACTGGAGGGAGCAAACAGACCCACAGCACACTCATAATCATAAAAGTGACTAAGCTAGAGTCCTCAACACCTCAGGACTTCCATTGGAGCAGCCTTGGTGATACACTTGGTACAGGCGACTAACGGGAAAGTTGTTTGTCTTAAAAAGAACCACAATGAGCACAGCTAGAAACATGGGAGTGAATGAGGTGTAAGTAATTGAGAATCTGCAACATCTTTGTCTGTGCAGGCTTTGCAATTTCTGGTTCTAGAGCTGGCCTATCTAAGGTGGTGCCATCCAGGTGTGGATGGGAGTCCTGCCTCCCATCTAGAGGTTGGGAGCCAAGCATCAGCTAAAGGGCACCTTCTTGGCTTAGCCTTATGAGAGCTTCTCTTAACCTAATCCTCAGAAGTCATCTGCTTTCTTGCTCAGGATCTCATAGAAAAGAGGGCTGTTAATTCTCCAGTTGCCAGACCTGTTTTTATAAGCCCAGAGTTTGGGGGATTCTTTTAAAACACCCCCACCCAACCCCCTACACCAAAACAGCATTATCTGAAAGGCAATCGGCTTTGCTCTGCCTATGAAGGGAGCGGATAGTCTCCTTGAAGGCAGCAGTGGGCTGTCTTATCTTTATCCCACATTTACTGTCCAATCTGCTTCTGGTGTTGATCCTGTAAATAAGGTTTTATTTCTTCTTGTTTAGACAAACGCTGGAAGATACTCCCCTATCCGTTTTGTAGAACAGTGGCTTCCTTGCGTTTTCACTCTTGGTGGCTTTAAGCAACAGAACAGCTTCCTTTTTGTCTCCATCCCCTTTTGCTGCCGGCTGGGAGGATGGGGACCTGTGGCCTTTGTTGCCAGCCATTGTCAAGGACTCTCTCTGTGGATCAGCCAGTGCAGAACTTTTTGCTAGACCTGCACCAGGTTCCCTGGATATGTTCACCCACAAAATCCTTGTGCACACAAAAAAAGGCCTCAGGCCTGGAGTTGTGACACTGCTTCCCTGCTAGGCTTCCAGTAATTCCTTTTTATACATGTCCCTTTTCCAGAAACTTCCCCCCCACACCCAGTTCTTCCTCACTGCACAAACACTTCTTCCTGAAACTTTCTTCCTTAACAGCTGCTGCTTCTCCCTACATTTCATTGGAGTGTGACAACAGAGTCCACAGCTGCTAGGGTGTGTGTGTGTGTGTGTGTGTGTGTGTGTGTACGTGAGTGTGTGGTCCATGTTGGTGACTGTACATGAGGTATATTTTGTACCAATTTCCTTGAAGTAGCACACTACCTGGTGTGATTGTATACAGCAATGCAATTAGCCTTTTTCAATAAAAATGCTGATTTTGAGGCAAAGGACCAAGTTGTTCCCAGCTTCTTTGTGCCGTGAGCAAACAGTTATCCCCCCCCCCCGAAAGGATGCTATTGAACTGGAAAAGCAGGAGAGGCTGTAAGAACGGAGATTTGGGTGCTTCCCTGTCACGTACGGAAGTTCATTCACTGATGCTCATGTGAGTCTTCTGCAATGTCCGCTACAAAACACTGTCCTGTATCCCCCTGCACTTAACATGAGAATAGGAAAACAATAACCACCAGGATGGTGTTCAGATGAGGGTGGCATGAACCACGCTGAGCCCACAATCAATTCTTACTTGGAAGCACCACTTCATTATTAAATGAAGGAGAGGCATGCTAGTTTTTAAAAAAACTGCATGGGGTAGGTAGAAAGGTGTTCTTTTCCTCCCCTCTGGTAACACTGTTAATTCAGGTGGGCTCATCCAGTGAAACTGATTAGCAGGAGAACGAGAAAAGGAACTGCTACTTTCTCTTATACTGCATAGAAATTGAAACTTTTGGGTGGGGCTATACATATATTTTTAAAATTTCAACTGTCCTGAAGTTAAAACAGCAGTAAGAAATATGAAATAAAGAAAACAAATAATTTTTCATAGTTTCCTACAGGAATGTTATTGTAGAGTTATAAATAACCAGTGTTTTTTCCCCTTTAAAAAATGTTTAGGGGTACTCTCATTTTCTTACTCATACTGAAATACTGTGCCTCAATGAGGCCAAACTTAGATTCACAAAATGCTTAGGGGTATGCGTCCCCCTAGAAAAAAAGCACTGTAGATAACTGAAGTGATGCTGAAACAGACCGAATGTAACTCATGGGCCTAAGTCTAGGGACCCAGCAGACAACTCCTCTTTCTGGTTGAGCGTGTTGGATTTGTGTGGCCATACAATGGTTCTTGGAAGAACACAGATTGGCACATTCCGTCCCTTAGATATCAGAGATGTAGCCAGGTATCAGAGATGTAGCCAGTTTACTTCCCTTCAGAGGGGCTGCTACTCTGCTTTCTGTCCATGAATCCCCTCCCTCCTAATTATGTGACTGGTGTGCGTTTTGCCTTCAGTGGGGCACCTCATTTGGAGCCAAGCAGGCAGTCATGTACAAGCATGGATTGGCGAGGAAGATGGCGTCGTTAGTGGTAGCTCTATTTTGTGCTCCGCGTTGATATATAGATTTATTAGTATTTATCAGCACTTTTAAAGCTTTTTTTTTTTTCTTTCTCCTCTCTTTTAACCGAGCTTAGCAGTTTTAAATTATCACTCTTTTTTACTAACTGCCAAAGGCCTATTTTTATCCAAAAGAGGCTCAGCAAGCCGCCCTATCTTCACGAAGCTGGTAATTAGCAGACGGGGGAGGCCAGCTACTCCTTTGGAAGGACGCCGAGCTTTTTATCCATAAAAAAAAAGGAAGGAATTGAAGCTGCTATAACCCCAAGAAACACAAGGCAAGTTCAACCCGATAATTATTCCAAGGGACTTTTGTTTTCTTTTTTCTGCTTCGTTATACTGCCTAGCTACTTTACTGGTTACGTCGTGAGGCTGTTGAATGAGGGAGAAAGACCTAGTTGAATTTTAAACGAAACAAGGCACAGTATGGAAGCTTAAGACCAGTAATATTTTCTAACATTTTAAATGACTGATACCTCACAAGCCCCGATGTAAATTGCTGGAGAAACTAAACAGGTTGGAGAGGTTGGAGAGGCTCAGGAGGCAACTTCCACAAATCGGCACTCCTACTACTGTTTACTCCAGCTTAGAACAAAAGATAAGCCGCCGGTAAGCAAGCACCCCCTACCATACATCCATATATACCCATATACCCACTATGGTCCTCACCAGGAAAAAAATACAAGGACCAAGGAATTCTGCCTAATTCACCACAGAGCCCGATGGAGCGACGAAGGAGACAAAGTAAAATTACCAGCTACTTTCCTCAAAAAGACTCGAGCAAGAGAACTCAGAATGAGAGTATCCTAGATGTAGCTATGCCTTTGCCACTCACAGTGTTGGATTGGTCAACACAGCTAAAGGACTTGCAAACAAACAACAAGAGGACAAACCATCCAACAAATCTGGCCCAAGAACTTGCCATAGCAGAGAATGCTACAAAGGCTAACACAGCCAACACACCCGATGCCAATCCTCATTTGTCACCGCTGGAACTTGGAGGTAATCTTTCAACCCATTGGTTGAAAGCCAATGACTGTGGAATAGAAATGTGGGGTGATTATCTTCAGGAGCAGATATACCAGATTTCTAAGGATCTCCTTAACGTTAAAAAATTTTTAGCGATAACAAACGGGCTGCTCCTGACCCTAGTGGATAATTTCAAACAACATGTGAGCGCTTCAGACCAGAATACAAATCCCCTAGCCAGCCCGGATCCACCACTCCCCAGCAAACCCCGGAGGAAAAAAGCTGAGCCTAAGATGAAGAAAAGCAAAAACATGAAAAACCTAAGGCGGCTTAAGACAACTCACCGTACCTGTAAAAAATATTGGCAGAAGCTCTTTAACCTTCTTTCATCCCTTTCCACAAGTGGAACAAACAAATCCAACTCGAGTGCCATCAAAGAGACACGTAAAGTAGATACACCTATAAAAGAATCTAAATCAAGTTCTGAAGAATCAACACCGAGCTGGGACAAAGGAACTAATCCATCTGCAGTCATATCGCCCCAGAGTCCTCTCATGGCCAGCACAGAATCAGTAGACAGAGGTGAGCAGGCGACCCAAACTATTGAGGGGAACCACTCCTCCCAAGTTCGACAGATGTTGTGTCCCAAAAGAGAATGGAGTTTAGTCCTAATCCCACAAAAACTTGTCTTTGCTAATTACCCTAAACCGCCTAGATTTTATGCAGGGTTGGACCGTATAGACCACTTTTTGTCCATTATAAGTGGCATTTTACCGGGGGTAGTAAAAGCAACTGACATAGCCGCTATAGAGTATCTACATCAAGATGATTGCTCGGTACGAGCATTGATTACTTTTTTAGATCATAATCTGGCCAGTTTCATTCTTAGAGCTAAAAACCTATTCAAAAAAGAAAGAATAGTCCTATTAAGAATATTTGAAAATAGAGCACCTGCAACCTCTCTGATAGGGCCCAAGAGCATAGGAGTGGAAGTTCACAAAAGGGAAAAAACCAACCACCAAAACCATCGAAATAGAAAGCATAAGCTCCAGCAGGATCATCCCCACCAAACAGTACCAAATGAAAAAAAGGAAGCCTCACATCCAACTGGCGTCGGGCCTCTCACGTGGGATAGTGAGGACTCCGTTTGGGAGGAAGAACTCTCGCTGATAAAGCGATTCTGGTCACTGCATTCTCCAGCTCAAACTGAGATCCTGAAAAGATTTGATTTACTTCGAAGCAGACTAGAAAAAAAGGATGATCAAGGTGAGACAATGAAGGACCCTTATGTGCAGCCCATATCTCCCAAATGTCTGGTGGATAAGAAGACAGTGGGAGGCACCTTTAAATGTGTAGACGTGGAATTACAATCAGAGCCCCCTGTGATGTACAATAAAGTAAGACCAAATCAAGGTGTGAAATCTCAAAGCTCCTGGCACAGCTATCTTAAATTGTCTCCGAATGAATTAGCTTCCCCCCCAACTCCAAAATCTAGCCCCAAATCACCAAGAAAAGAGGATCACTACACTCTCTCCAAGCAGCCAGCCTCGAAAAGAGCCAACGGGTGTGTTTTTTTAGACACCAAAGAATTGCTGGACATGGTGGTGACATAGATCCAGCTCCCCGAAGGGCCCGGGGCCTAAAAGTGCTGTCTTGGAATATCGCGGGTTGGCACGCCAAGAAAAATAATCAACAATTTCTGTGTTACCTTAAGCAATTTGACATCATCTTCTTTCAGGAGACATGGCAGAATGACCCTATATTTCTTAATGGGTATAACTGCCACTACCTGCCTGCCTCTCCATCTCTAAGGGGCGGCAGATCTAGTGGTGGCCTAGCTTGCTTTATTTCCACGGAGCTGGCGCATTCTCTAACAGCCCTACCCAGCTGCAATTCCTTAGCAACAGCCGCTCTACTTAGCTTCAAGAGAACTACTCTCTTGCTGGTCAATGTCTATATTCCCCCAGGCCAAAAAAAACCCGTTGTTAAGGCTACATGGGCTGAGCTAGAGGCGTTTTTAGAGCCTCTCGAATCTACTTACCCGTCCGCCCTGACTATTGTGTGTGGAGACTTCAACGCTCGTATAGGAACAGATGACAACAGTCTATACACTCATTTCAACCAATTTATGGACCCTGAAGAACAGACGGATATTGGCGCGACACGACTGTCCAAAGATAGTAGAAGTAATTTCCCAGGTCTCTGCTTAGTGCAGGCTGCTAGACGGAGGGAACTGCTGATATTAAACGGCAATATAGAGGGGGACCGCCCCGGGGAATATACCCATTTCTCCAAGGCTGGGGGAAGTGTTATAGATTATATCTTAATCTCAAGATTTGCTCACAGCTTTGTAAGGAAGTTCCAAGTGGGCCACAATACTCTGAGTGATCACCTACCTCTAATTCTAGAGCTTGCAGGTCGGCCTTTTGACTATTCTATTGCCGAGCCACAATATATACCTTCTGTAAATTTGGATATACCTGCCCCCAAAAGACTCAAATGGTCCCCAATATTGAATGAAAACCTAACCCTCCTTCTTCAGTCAGTGGAGTTAAAGCTTATTCGCTCCGCTATTGTATCAGGCAATTCAGTAGCTGCGATTATGGAACGCTTTAAATTACTTTTGGAAAGATTGAAACCCCATTTAACAACAGTGATACATAGCTCCGCTACAAAGAGGGCAAAGGACGGAGCTAGCTGGTTTGACCTGGAGTGCAGGCAAACAAGGAGACAAATGAGAACAGCCTACCGGAGATACAGGAAATCAGGGACTGCCCTCCTACTTAATGCTTATATCTATCTGAGACGGTCGTACAAACAATTACTAAGGAGAAAGAAACTGGAAGCTGAAAGAGCCGCATGGCACAGGTTGGTTAAGGCATCGCACGAGAAAGATACTACTTGCTTTTGGCGAACCATATCTGGTCTACTGGACCAGGAGCGTACTAATTCCATCTGTACAGTGGAACCAATGGAGTGGTTGCGCCATTTTCAATCTTTGTTCTATGACCAGGAAGCCCAACATTACAAACTATGCATTCAATTGGAGGACCTACCTCATTGGCCAGCAGTAACTGCGAAGGAAGTTGAGAATTTAATCGCACAATTAAAGAACAACAAGGCCCCAGGGAATGATTACATCCCTGCCGAACTTCTGAAGTCCAACATTGGCTGGTGGGCCCCCCTGCTGGCGTCTTTATTTTCTTGGATCGACTCAACGGGTTTACTCCCAGATGGTTGGACTGAGGCAATAATTATCCCAATCTATAAAAAAGGACCCATGACAGACCCGGCGAGTTATAGACCAATCAGCCTTCTGCCTATACCCAGCAAACTATATGCCAAACATCTTTATACCAAGCTAACTAGCTGGCTGGAAACTGAAGCTATTCTAGCGGAAGAGCAAGCGGGTTTCAGGCAAGGCAGATCCACCATAGACCATTGCTTCACCCTAGCCTATTTAATTGACAAATATGCCAAAAAACCACGTGGGGTGTTATATGCAGCTTTTATCGATCTAAAGGCTGCTTTCGATTCAATTCCACGTGTAAGACTCTGGGATAAATTGAGCACCTCAAGCATAGACAAAAGACTATTATTTCTGATCAGCTGTTTATACAAAGACACGGTGCTGCATGTAAGAACTTCGTTAAATGGCCATCTTATAGGACCAGTTCCTGTCAGTAAGGGGGTCAAGCAAGGTTGCATCCTGGCCCCAGTTCTATTCAACATCTACATCAATGATATGGTTAACTGTTTGTCATCTCCGGACTTCCACGCCCCCAAACTGGCTGACAAAGCAATATCAGTGCTTTTGTACGCTGACGATGCGATACTCCTATCTCGAACAAGAATAGGCTTAAATAGGCTCATAGGTGAATTCTCAGCATACTGTAGGAGAGAGCAACTTGCAATAAACTATCAGAAAACCAAAATTATGGTTTTTGCAAGGAAACACAGACAGTACAGCTGGAGGATGGATAACCAGACAATTGAACAAGTCAAAGCCTTCAAATATCTGGGTATCGTTTTCCAGTCAACCGGGTCCTGGGATGTCCATCAAAAATGTGCCAAAGAAAAAGCAGCTCAAAGTATCAAGATGCTGTCCCGCTTCTTCTACACGAAGGGGGGCAGATACATCCCAGCAGCCCTTGAAGTTTTTCAAGCAAAACCTCTGGCGCAGTTACTGTACGGGGCGCAAATCTGGACGGGGAACCACTGCTCCAGTCTTGAAACTGTCCAGTCCAAATTTCTAAGGCAGATACTCGGCGTCCCCTCCTGTGTTCCAAACGCAGCATTACGACTCGAGGCCTGCCTTCCATCTGTGGAAACTCGGACCTGGCAGAGAACATTCAACTTCTGGCTTCGTCTTAATCTGAATCCACCTGGTCTACTGCCGCTAGTAATGCAAGACCCTCACAAAAGCAAGTGGTTTAAAACTGTGCATCAAAAACTCCTTACATGCGGTCTGCACTCACAGTCCCTACTATCAATGGGCCTCATTAAAGCAAAGAGTCTAATAGGCCAGCGCCTGAAAGACATTGAACGACAAAACAACCTGACTATCTTAAAGAAACTGTGCCCATGGTATACCTACTCTCCCCTTTCTCATTTTGACTCTCCAGCTTCATATTTGTCTAAACTAACCATCCCAAAATACAGACGTGCCTTTACATTGGCTAGATGGGATGTTCTTCCCTCTGCTGTACTCGAAGGTCGTTACCAAAAGACTCCATTTGAAAAACGACTCTGCCCATGTGGAGATGGTAACACGGAAACAGTGTCCCACGTCCTTCTTTCTTGCCCCCTTTACAAAGACCTAAGGAATGAGATTATTACTCCACTCATTCTCTCCAACCCCGGCCGTTCACCAGACATTATACTGTATTTTCTATTATCTGATACGGATAGTCAGATAACAGAGAAGGTCGCGAGGTACATCGAGAGAGCTGCGAAATTGAGGGCCACCATCTGAGTGACAGACTTGTTCACCCGACGGACCTCCTTTTGCCTGTTCTTTTCTTCCTTTTATCCCTATTTTCACTTTTAACTTTTGTACAGCTGTGGCCTGTTGGCTTTGCTAATAAAGTTTTGATTTGATTTGACTTGATTTGAAGCATGGATTAACTCTTGCAGAGAGCAAGATCTACTGGGGCTGTTGTCATGGCCAGAATTCTAAAGGTGAGACACAATCCTTGGAAGTTTGTAAGCAGAGGTTGGATGAATGGTCTATGAATAAGGGCAAAGAACAAATAAACTCACAATCTCTGCAAAGAGTTAAGATTTATTTATTTATTCATTCTGAATCTGCGTTGGTTGGTTTGTTTTGGTTCTTGGACAAATGGAAGTGACCGGTTCCCAAGTAGTTTCTACTTCTCATCCAAGGTGACGGGTGCGTCTGGCAGGCTCCTGTAGGCGACAGTCCAGAAATTCACGAAAGGAGCTCTCAGGCCTTGCTTCGCTGACTCGTAGTTGATGTCCTTGTTGATCTCCAGGTAGTAGCCATGCTGAGTATCATAAGGCACCCACCCAATGGGGACTTCCGATTCCCCTTTGTTGGGGTCACTAGGAGAGGGTGAAGAATACAAACACACACTCAGTGGAAGGTTTGTGACTGGCACAGCACCAGCTTAAGTAATATAAGTCGCTAAGCATCTCATAAGATGAGGCAGGGAGGGCTATAACTCAGCGGTAGAGTCTTGCATGCAGAAGGTTCCTGGTTCAAACCTCAATGGCATCTCTGCTGATAATCAGTATATAGACAATACTGAACTAAATGGCCCAAAACTATGATAATGGTATAAGGCAGCTTCCTGTGTTTCAAATGTAGAACAGAGGCAGCCAACATGGTGTAGTTGTTGAACTACAACTTCCACCAGCCCCGGCCATAGTTGGCCAGTGGTGAGGGAGGATGGGAGTGGTATCTTGAGGGCACCATATTGACTATCCTTGATTCAGACAAACAGGGACAAAGGTGTCAGAAGTATGGGAAATGGTCCTTATGCAGAGAAGGCTGAAGGGACTAGGTCTGTTCAGCCTGGATAAAAGGAGACATGGGACATGATACCACTAAGAACCCAAGAGCCTGACTGCTGCATCAGAGCAAAAAGGGCCCAACATCCTGCTTTCACTGTGTCCATTGCAGGTGTCTCAATGGGAAGCCTACAAGCAGCCCCTTTCCAGTTGCTCCGCATCATCTGTTATTGAGAGGAAGACTGTTCTTTTTTCTGCCACCTGAGGATAGAACCAGTTTAAATGGGCTTGTTACAGGAGGAGATATTTGGGTTGAAGATAGAAACCGCTCAGCAATGAGGTCAGTTGCATAGAGTGGTCTGACCTCAGCAATTTTCAGGTGGTTTGCAGCGGGGAGAAATAATAGGGTTTTAAAAGCTGGACAGGACTACGTCTCGTGTTTAGGGGTTTGGGAGAAGGACACTGGCAACAAAGTTGAGCAGGCCTTACCCTGTTCTGGCAAAGTTTGTCCAGTAAGCTATCATGTCCTTAGAAACCTTTCTGTGCTGAGCTCTGTAGCCCAAAGGAGTGGCAAAAGGTTTCCCAAAGACATACTGAAGGTCATCAGCATGGTCTGCACCAACCCAGCTGGGATAGACAGGCATCCGCGAATCCTGGGAAAACAGGTAGCTGTAAGTCTTGGCACTCCTAAAATGAGGGGTAGAGAGAGAGAGAAAGAGAGAAAGGCATGGTGAGTAAGGAAAGAAACAGCAAAATTCACTGGGACTCAAACTCCTCTCCCAACATACTTACTGGACATATTTTTAAATTTTTTTTAGCTTTCTATATTTTATATTATATTTATTTGTGTAAGCTGCCTTGAGTCCCAGTCTGGATAAAAGGCAGGATATAAATAAATATAATATAAATAATAAGTCTTGCCCATTACTTTAAGTGGGTCTCCTCCAAGTAGGACTAGTATCCAACGCAATCTTCTTCGGTTTTGTAGTCAGTGTTAATTCTGCTCAGGATTAACCCACTGAAATTAATATCCATGACTAACTTATGTCCATTAATTAAAACGGGTCTACTCATTAGGAGGACTGACACCCTTAATATTCATGTTGCTCAATGGACGTCAAAATTAAAATACACAATAAAATAGTCCCATTAAAAACATTAAAATATCAGCACTTGTGGTTAACATGTTTAAACAGCATAGCAATTAAAACAGGAGACTTGGGGTCAAGAAATTAAGGGGAATGCAAAGAGGCACATCTTGAAAAGATGGCAGAACAGCAGTGCAGATGGTGCCTCTTGTAGATCAGCAGGGACAGCGGTCCATAACACTAGTGCCACCAAAGGAAAAGGTCATCTCTGCTTTACCACAAACTAATAATAATTGGCCCTTGAAAAACTAATGTTATTAATTTATTTCTTATGCTGCAACCATCTCACTGAGTTGCCCCAGCCACTCTGGGCAGCTTCCAACAAAAACACAGAGAGAAAGGAGAAAAAAGCTTCCTGAAACAGGGCTGCCTTCTAATAATAATAATAATAATAATAATAATAATAATAATAATAATAATAATAATAATATTTATTATTTGTACCCCGCCCATCTGGCTGGGTTTCCCCAGCCACTCTGGGCGGCTTCCAACAAAGATAAAAAATACACTAAAATGTCACATATTAAAAACTTCCCTGAACAGGGCTGCCTTCAGATGTCTTCTGAATGTCAGGTAGTTGTTTATCGCTTTGACATCTGATGGGAGGGCGTTCCACAGGGCGGGCGCCACTACCGAGAAGGCCCTCTGCCTGGTTCCCTGTAACTTGGCCTCTCGCAGTGAGGGAACCGCCAGAAGGCCCTCGGAGCTAGACCTCAGTGTCCGGGCAGAACGATGGGGGTGGAGACGCTCCTTCAGATATACTGGACCAAGGCCGTTTAGGGCTTTAAAGGTCAGCACCAACACTTTGAATTGTGCTCGGAAACTTACTGGGAGCCAATGTAGGTCTTTCAAGACCGGTGTTATATGGTCTCGGCGGCCGCTCCCAGTCACCAGTCTAGCTGCCGCATTCTGGATTAGTTGTAGTTTCCGGGTCACCTTCAAAGGTAGCCCCACGTAGAGCGCATTGCAGTAGTCCAAGCGGGAGATAACCAGAGCATGCACCACTCTGGCGAGACAGTCTGCAGGCAGATAGGGTCTCAGCCTACGTACCAGATGGAGCTTTTGTCTATGAAAAGTTCTATGAAAAGCATATGTCTATGAAAAGTTATACAGCTGTTTTAACTCTTTGACATCTGCAGGGAGAGTGTTCCATGGGATGGGCGCCAATGCTGATAAAAAATATATATGCCTGGTTCCCTGTCACTTCACTTTTTGCAGTGAATGAACTGCCAGAAGACTCTTGGAGCTGGACCTCAGTGTCCAGGGTGAACAATGGGGGTGGAGGGTTTCATTTGTTGATCTTAATACCCTTTCCGGGAAATGAAGAGGAAGTCTGCCTTTCAGAAAACTGAAGTTGTTATGCCGCCCAGAAAAAGTGGTTTACATAAAGCAATGTAAAATATTCTTCAGAAAACAAAACTTTGTTTCTACAGTGTAAGTTGGTTTGAGGCACTTTAGTGGGAGGAAAGCAACAAATAAATATAATAAATAAATACTGATCATAGAAGTGTAGAATTGGAAGGGGCCTTGCGGATCATCTAGTCCAACCCCCTGCAATGCAGGAATATGCAGCTGTGCCATACGGGAATCGAACCTGCAAGCTTGGTGTTATCAGCACCATGTTCTAACCAACTGAGCTAAAGAAACAAGCTGACATAAGAAAATGTTAATCCAGATATAGGTAAAAATATATGTATTAAAATTACATGTCTGCCTAAACAAAAAAAGTTTTGAGCAGGCATTGAAAACCGTAATGTGAATGGGTCTGCCTAATATCAATAGGCAGGGAGTTCCAGTGAGTAGGTGCTGCCACACTAAAGGATCAATTCCATGCAAGTGCAGAAGAACCCCCCTTAAAAGGAGGACACAGGATGATAATACAGTGGTACCTTGGTTTAAGAACAGCTTAGTTTATGAAAACTTGGATTAAGAAGCTGCAAACCCAGAAGTAGGTGTTTTGGTTTGTGAACTTTGCCTTGGAATAAGAACATGTTTCACTTCCTATTGAGTGTGTTCCATTTGTAAATTGAGTCCCCCGCTGCTATGGGAAAGCATGCCTTGGTTTAAGAACGCTTTGGTTTAAGAACGGACTTCCGGAACAGATTAAGATTGTATAGCAAGGTACCACTGTAAGCAGAGATACTGACTGACCAGCAAGTCTCTCTCTCTCTGAAACCCTAGCTACCAACTCATTCCACCCTCCAGAAACACTCACTTGGCATTTTGGTAATGGAGACTAAGTGTCTGCTGGGTAGGCACCAGAAATATGTAGTCTGTCTCCAGGTCTATCACAGATCTTTTCATGACTTCCTGGTTTGTGTGGTCAGTCCACACCTGGGTATAGAGGGAGAAGGTTTCATTGGCTCCTTCCACCCCCTTCTCCACAGTCAGGCCCTGGGCCACACGGTACATGTCATCCCTGCAGAGAGGAACAAAAGCATCAAACAGCATGTCAGGCAAGTTTGTTCTGGATCCTGGTAGGATGCAGTTAAACCCTTAAAAAAAACCTTTTATCTATTAATTACAGTGACTAGCAAAACAGAAACTTTCAAATTCTTATAGCAAAATGTTTGAGCTTCCACCTTCATCAACTGTTCTCAGAACTGTTGAGAGCAGCTTCCAAGGTGGCAGTCCTAGAGTTTTGAGGGTGGACTGCTCAGGGGGGCTTCATTTGCTGAAGCTGAGAAATGGCTGGCACAATCCTCCAGGTGTTTGGGTGCCCCTCCAAAAGTTCTCCCTTTTTGCTAATGTTGGATCTATTCCAACATAAAACCTGTCCAATAGGTTGCGGTTTTCAGCATTAAAGGGTTCAGCAACAAGTTGATTCACTCTTTTTGGTCAAAATTTGTGGTTTCTAAAACATGTGTGTATCAGTAGTTTTATCTACATACGGGATATGACCACCCCCCATTTTTTGCATTCAGTGATATAACTTAGGAAATTAGGAGCAAGGGTGTTCCCCATCTCTGTCTTATGCCACAGGACAAGGCTGTCCTCTCCTCCACCCACAGATAATCAGGTTTTGCTCCCCCACCCCACCCCTTACGCTGTGATCTTCACTAGCGGGCGGTTGAGTGCAGGCATGTCAATTGAAGCAAAGAAGTGCCCATCCATGTTGTTCACCCCTGCGATGTAGTCAATGTCAGCGGCATTGGCAAAGAGATTTTCTGGGTTATCTGGGAGGAAATCTCCGTCAACCACTGGGGAGAAGGCAAGGTAATGGACGAGAGGATCTGCAGGGGGAGGAGAGAACCAATTGGACTGTTTAGGATAGGAAAGGGATGTCCTGTGTCATATGCTATACTACAGCAAAGCTACTGAACTGCAAATTTCTAGTCCTTGTGATACACAGGCTATGGTGGTAAATAGAACATGATATATAGGTGACAGGGGTTACGTTCCAGGGATCATGCCTGAAGTCAGAACAGAGTATAGTGAAAATACATTGGGTTTAACAGCGGGTGGGATTGCCAAGGTTATTTCTCCTGGACCCCCACCCTCACTTTCCACCACCCGTTAATTGAAAATAAATAAATAATGCCAAGCACATGAAGCCAGATGTGCACAAGTTAAATGTAAGTTAACTGTATATAACTATCAGAATACCCATTGAGGGAATCACGAGTTGGGAGAGAGCTGTTATGTCCAGATCATGTTTGTGGGCTTCCTAGAAATGGCATCTAGGTTGGCCACTGTGAATTCTTCCAAGGGGCCTTGTTGTAAGAGCAAATCTTACACTTTGGATGGGAATTAATACTCTGCCTGAAGTGTTCACCTTCTTCCTTTTCTTATTTAATAGTAATTCCTATGTTGAGCATGATGGGTGACCTCCCAGATCCTCTCCACTTTTCAAATCCTGTGTGCTATCTGTGCGTTTTTTGTGTGTGTGGTGCAGAACTGGCCTTGTTACAGGCGCCACATAACGTTCATTCCATATTTTTCAAAAATCAATCTTAAAACATGGCGGGGGGGGGAACCACACTATGGAACTCCCTGCCCATTGACAAGAGGCTGGCACCTTCGCTGTACCCTTTCCAGCACCTGCCAAAAACATTTTTGCTTTGACAAACCTATCCACAGAAACGTAGCGTGTTGGAATGTTTCTTAATCTGGTTTTTAGCTTATCATTAGTTTTAATTATTTGCTGAAGGCTTTTAACTGTTGCTTTTAACAGGGTTTATTTTTTAAGCATAATTTCATATATTTATTCTTTTCATAAACTGCTTTAAAAGTTTTGCGATATATAAAGATTTTACAAAATAAATAGCATTCATTTTTAAAAGACACTTCTGTTTAGCTTTCCGAAGTCTCTGGAGAGACTGTTGCTCCTCACAGTTTACAGAGACACCCATTCCCAGCCCCACCTCACCGCTTGAAGTCCAACTTACAGCGCAGATTAAGCACCTCTAGGTGGTAAGCAAGCGTCAGGGCCTTGGGGTCGGTGACCTTGAGGCAGTTCGCTAGCTTTGTGGTGTTGTCTGTTGGGCAGCCGACTTTCTGAGCTACCTGCAAGAAGAGTCAGAGGAGAAATTCAGGCAAGTTCACATTCAAACGAGACCACTTCCAAATGGGCATTTTCTGAAAACCATGTACAGTCATACCTCATGTTACGTTTGCTTCAGGTTGCATGTTTTCAGGTTGCGTCCCATGGTGACCCGGAAGTACCGGAAAGGATTACTTCCAGGTTTCGCTGCTCGGGCATGCGCAGACACACAAAATGACATCATGTGCATGTGAATCACGACCTGCGCATGTGCAGATGTGGGTTTCATTCTCCTCAGGTTGCGAATGGGGCTCCAGAACGGATCCCGTCCGCAACCAGAGGTACCACTGTACCTCGCGAGCCAAAGAACACAGCCTATCCCTTCAAAATCCATAATTCTTCCATACAACATGTAAAAAGTGCTGTGCAAAGGTTTAACTGTTCTATTAGTGACTCCTGCCCAAATGAAGATAGCACAACACTGGAGGCATCAGTCCCCTTTTACCATCCAAGCCTGGGGAAGTAAAGTATGGAATCAGGCACTATCTGAGAAAAGAACAAGAGCATAACAAGCAGGCCAGATGTGTTAAATCTACAGCTTATTTCTCAGTCACCTGGTACCTTTTCATTGAGTTCATCTTACGTTAGGAGAGCGAACATCTCCCTCCAGGTTCACAATGCCCATTACGGGGAGATACGATTCCCAAGGAGTTTTGTTCCCCTGGCATAGTTGTTTTGTACACTTGTCTCTGCTTTGTTATCAGTTCTCACCATTATAAAAAGCACTCCATTTTATATATAATTTTTCAGAATTCAATGCATCATAATTTCTTGTTTTGTTATTGTCATGTTACGTGAATGTGGTTCTTGTGTTACTCCGAAAATTTTTAAAAAATCATTTTGAAAAAAGAAAGAAAACTCTCCAATTTGACACTGCATTACCTTGGTAGCCCAGTAGAGGGGGTTCTTCTGAATGGCCCAAGAGCAGAGGCCGACTCCACTCTGGCTGATAGCCCGCTTGATCAATCCTTTGTTGTAGGGCGACAGCATCTACAGTGCAGGAGAAGGGACAGAATACAGTCATAGGAGATAATAGGAAGTTGCTTTATACCAAGTCAGACAACCGGTCTGTTGTGATGCTCGGCAGAAGAAGGACTTGATGATGATGATGATGATGATGATAATTTATTTTATTTATTTATTTTTATAAATTTTTATTGCATTTTTTCAGACATCAAACAACAAAGAAAAAAAGCAAGAAAAGAAAGAAAGATAGAAAGAAAATAGAATAAGTCATACCCTTCCAACCGCTTATTTCAACATTCCAACGAGCTTCCCCACATCTCCCGCACAATGCATTCTTAACAATAAATTTATCAGCAAATTGTACCCTTGTTTCATGTGTTTCTTTGTACTTTCAATTGCAATTTAAGTTTAAATCCCTTATTGTCCAATTACTCTGAAAACATTCCATATTAACATTTTTAACATTTAAACTTGCTTCTTTCAATAGTGTTATCCAATTTCATAGATATTGCACTCTCAATGCTGGGGCTAGTATTTCAAATTTTGCGTCATTTTATAGTTCATATAACTTGTAATATTTTTGCAAATAGTTCTTAAATTTTTTCCAGTCCTCCTGATGATGATAATTTATTTATACCCCGCCTATCTGACTGAGTTTCCCCAGCCACTCTGGGCGGCTTCCAATCATGTGTTAAAAACAATACAGCATTAAATATTAAAAACTTCCCTAAACAGGGCTGCTTTCAGATGTCTTTTAAAGAGAAGATAGCTGCTTATTTCCTTCACATCTGAAGGGAGGGCACTGATATCCAAGACAAAAAAAATAAAGCTCAGAAGGTGGTACTTGGTAAGAGGTCAGCATTCAGAAAATTTCGGCTTCCCTGTGGGGAGGGAAATCAAGCTTCTAGTCCTTATTTTGTTTAGGAAAATAGGAAGCCGCCATCTAGGGTTGCCATACAGTAGTACCTCGGGTTAAGAACTTAATTCGTTATGGAGGTCTGTTCTTAACCTGAAACTGTTCTTAACCTGAGGTAACACTTTAGCTAATGGGGCCTCCTGCTGCCGCTGTGCAATTTCTGTTCTCATCCTGAAGCAAAGTTCTTAAGGCGAGGTACTATTTCTGGGTTAGCGGAGTCTGTTACCTGAAGCGTATGTAACCTGAGGTACCACTGTATTTCAAAAAGTGAAAATCCAGACACAAAAGTTGTTGAGCTTGTTTTGGCGAAGTTGTTGAACCTGGGGCATTCTGAATGCAAAGTATGTGCTCCACACCACTGAGCTTTGGCCCTTTCTCCTAAAAATATAATAGGATTCTAGTCCTCAAAGTTCTGAATAAAGGGATGCTCTATACCGCTGAGCTATTACAGCCCTTCCCCAAGCTGCCGTTTCACAACAGACCCTCTCCACCCGTCCCTTGCTCCTCCCAGCATTCCATCCCACTCCCTGACTGACATTCTTCCAGTAGCTCTTTCCCCACAATAACAAAACCACATATTGTGACTCAACTCCTGAACCAATCAAGAGCCCCACACCTAGGAAAAATTAAAATTGAATTGAATTAAACCCTTAACAAAATGAAATAGAAAGAAAGTGCCCCACACCTGTAAGGAGACACTGACGGCCCCAGCAGACTCTCCAAAGATTGTGATGTTGTCGGGGTCCCCTCCAAAGTTCTTTATGTTTCTCTTGACCCAGGCAATGGCCATGTGCTGGTCTTTGAGGCCATAGTTACCTGAAAGAAAAGAGCTGGAGTCATACACACATACACCCCTAGGAGGTAAACCTGCAGGGCTGTTGTCAAGCAGAAAAGTGGGACATAAATATTTCAGTTAAATAAATAAATAACTCAGCTGAGCTTCTCTGAGCCAGACCACTGTGAGGCCAGACCAGGAAAAGCAACTCAAAGAACCTTTAGCATTAAAAAACACCATAAGATTTTGTAGATTAGATGTATTGTATGTGATTTTCAGTTGTCAGGTACATATACACATGTAGGTGTAGATCAGGGATGGGAAACCAGCAGCCCTCCAGATGTTTTTGGACTCCAACTCCCATCAGCCTCAGCCAGCAAGGCCACCAGTCTGGGATGATGGGAGCTGTATTCCAGCAACATCTGGAAGGCTACAGATCCCCCTTCCCTGAATTAAGGAGGAACATTTCCTGCTGCATGCAAGACATGGAAGAATGCCTCTGAAAAAGGCATTCCCTTATTAAATAATTCCTCTTCTTAGATCAGGGATGGCACTCCAGATGTTGTTAAGACTCCAACTCCCATCAGCCTCAGCCAGCATGGCCAGCGTTCAGAGGAATGATGGAGCTGCAGTTCAGCAGCATACGAAGAGTCACAGGTTCCCAAGCCCCCAATGCAAAGGTTGGAGGGAAACGGCAAAACAAACTTTAACTTATGCAAAATGACTGCAGCTGCAGGGGGTGGGGGAGAAATATCCCCCCAAAGAAAGGTCTTACCTGGAAGGCTAGCATCTCCTGTGCTGAGGAAACCCAGGGGTCCAAGGCGGTAGTTGAGCGTCACCACAATGACCTTTCCGCGGGTGGCAATCTCCTCCCCGTCGTAGAGGTAGTTGCTCAGGAAGTTGGGTCCCTGGCCGCCACCCCAGAGAAAGGCTCCCCCATAAATCCAGACCATCACCGGCAAGTTGGTGGACACTGAAGCAGAAAGGGAAAGGGATGAAGAAGCAGAGGCGTGAGCCAGCTGGAAGCCAGAACTCAAAGATCTCTGCCTAAATATCCATTGATGACTGATGGGGGCAACAACATTTAAACCAGGAGTGCCGGAGCAGTTTTTTTTTAGCTCAAGGGCCACATTCTTTTCTGGGTAACCTCCTGGGAGCCACATGCCAGTGGTGGGCATGGCTAAAGGCAAAAGTGGACAAAGCAACCAATGTAAATTTTACCTTTCATATGGCAGGACTAGTTTCTGCACACGCTCACACACTGTTCTCTCCCTAACCAGGAAACCAAGAGGCATTGTCAGAGGGTGCAAAGCAGGGTTGGTGAGGGGTATAACTGCAGAGTTTCCCCATGGCCAGAGAGAGGGAGGGGGCTGGAAGGCTGAGGTCCCCCTCACACCCCAGTTTAAAGGATACAATGCCTCTATGAGGATTCCCAAAGATGCCAAAGTCATACCTCGGGTTAAAGATGATTCGGGTTAAATCTTTTCAGGTTGCTTCCTGCAGCGACCCGGAAGTACCAGAAAGGGTTACTTCTGGGTTTTGCCGCTCACGCATGGGCAGAAGCAGCAAATTGCGACCCGCGCACATGCAGACGTGCAGACAAGGGTTGCATTCTGCTCATGTTACGAATGGGGCTCCGGAACGGATCCCGTTCGCAACCAGAGGTACCACTGTACTGATTTTCGCGCGGCAAGAAATCACATGACCCCCCATCCACCCACCCCAGCTGTCATGCAAGCTGTTGTTGTCACCCAGTGCAATGAAAGTCAAAAACAATAGCTCTCCCTCCCACAAATTAACACATGCCACTGCACCGTGAGGAAAACGTCTGCACAAGACCCCATGCTCTGCCTCAGCTATCAGCCAAAGAGCATCGGAAGAGCCCTGCTGGATCAGACCAGTGGTCCACCTAGTCCAGCATCCTGCTCTCACCATGGCCAGCCAGCAAGTGGGATACCAGGAAGCAGGACCTGAGCCCAAGAGCCCCCTCCTCTCCTGTGGTTTCCAGAAACTGGTATTCAGAAACACTGCTGCCTCCAGCCATGGAAAGAGAGCGTAGCCATAACGGCTAGTAGCCATGAACAGCCTTCTCCTCTTTGCATTTTTCTAATCCCCTTTGAAAGCCATCTAGTTGGTGGCCATCACTACCTCCTGTGGGAGTGAGTTCCATAGTTTAACGCTGTGCTGCGTGAAGAAGGACTTTTCTCTACCCTGAATCTTCCAACATTCGGCTTTATTGGATGCTCATGAATTCTAGTGTTACAAGAGAAGTGTGTGTGTGTGTGTGTGTGTGTGTGGAATTGTCCACTTTCTCCATGCCAGGTGTAATTTTATAAACATCTGTCATGTCACTTCTCACTCACCTTTCCTCTACACCAGTGTTTCCCAAACTTGGGTCTCCAGCTGCTTTTGGGCTACAATTCCCATCATCCCTGACCACTAGTCTTGCTAGCTAGGGATGATGGGAGTTGTAGTCCAGAAACAGCTGGAGACCCAACTTTGGGAAACACTGCTCTAAACTTAAAAGCCCCAAATGCTACAACCTTTTCCTCATAGGGGAGTGTTTGATCATTCTGGCTGCTCTTTTCTGAACCTTTTCCAACTCCACAATATCCTTTTTGATGGACACTGACCTTCTTTTTTCCCTTGGGGGACCCAGATGTTGAGATAAAGACAATCTTGGGTGCCACGCACATCTGTCTGGGTGAGTGTGGACTGCATGCAACGATTCTTATACTCCTTGGCCTGCAGGGTGCCTGAGAGAGAAATTGATGAACACACATACAGGACTGTCAGCCTGGCATCCAGAGGGAAGCTTGTTTTGTTTTATATTTTTAAATAGTTCTGGTTGAGCTACACACACACACACAAAAACACAAAATCACAGCACAGCAAAAGAAATATCAAAACAAAAGTGGGTGATTAACACAGAGAGAGGTAAAGCCAAAGGGCATATAGTGTTTGACACCCTGGCAATTATCACTTTAGGCAGCCTGTTGATGTAGTTGCTCTTAAGTCATAAGAACTTAACAACATGCATGGCAGGAATGCCAAAGAAGTGAAGCCTTTCTAGGCGAGTTCAGTATGACAGCATCATACACAAATTTAACTTGCATGACTTCAAGGCGGGCTCGTTGAAATGGCACAAATTAAATCCAAGGAAGCATCTTGGGATTGCCTGGTGCAAAATTAATTTTCAAGTTCTCCTCTTCGCTCATGGGGGCAAGGCCTGACCAGTTCCTAGCTCTGGGAGACTTCCATGAGATCTTGTAGGGCCACCCAAGTTCCTGCAAAATCTCATGCAAGAGTTCCAGAGCTGGTGCAACTAATGGGCCTTGCCCACCTCCCCACAAGCAAAGCAGAGAGCTTAAAAAGCTCTTTTTAAGCTGGATAACCCAAGCAGACTCAGCACAAAAAAGAGGCTTTAAGCTCTCTGCCTTGCTTGTGAGAGATGCCTGCTCAGCACACCTGCTCCAGGAGGCCAGAAAGTTCTCTTTCTCTCTCCCCCCCCCCCGCCCACTTGCTAGCTGCAGGGTGGCTCCAAAGGTTTGGGTACATGTGGTTTTTGTGCATGGACAGAACTCTTGAAACCAGCACTAGTTGCAATTATATTGTTTATCCTCTGATCTAAAAGTCTTTATTAAGCCGGAGATTGTTATAACACCTCAATTAACAGAGCCGAATCTGTTTCCGGAACCAAACGAGATCTCAAAATTGCATGGAGTTTTTTTTAGCAACTTTTTAGTAGCAACTTTGGATAGTGACAACTTGAGCTTGGAAGACAACGGGACAGGTCTCTCTGGAAAAATGGGACGGCTATGTTTGGCAAATCGCCTCATTAGAAAAATTAACTCAGACCCTGAATGTGGCAAGAGCGAAGCACACACATATATGTGTGTTTTGAATTATTTTATAGAGGTCAAATTGATGACCCAAGTCCTTCTGCATTGCACCCCTTTCCTCATAGGGGATTCACTCCAGCTAGGCCATATGGTTAAGCAAAGCATAAAAACGAGTTTAGGAACATTGGAATCTTCCTTGCATTGCTTCAAGCCATTGGTTCATCTTGCTCAGTACTGTCTACACCAACTGGCAGCAACCCTCCAGGGTTTCAGGCAAGGAGTCTCTCCCAGCTGTACCTGTATATGTCACAGGCAACTGAACAGGTGAACTTTTGCATGCCAGCTCCAGTCGCTGTTTTCTCAATCTGAGCCCCCACCCCACTGTAATTATGGAAGTAACAACACAAGGACACCTTACACGGTTCTTGTGAGGATTCCTAATATAACGATGTGGAAACCATTTCCAGCATTTGGAATGTTCATAGGGGGCATTGTTAGTAGTTAAAAGTGCAGACATTGTAAAAAATAAAATACATTTTAAAAAAATGTTTAAAAAGTGCAGACATCCCCCCGCTCCCTCTTTACCTGGCCAGCCTGGGTGAGGCTGGGGGTCTTCAAGAGTCTTGGTAGGTGCAGCAAAAGGGATTCCTTTGAAGATGTCCACATAATCCCCGAAAAGGCCCAACTTTTTATTGACGCCTTCCACAAAACCTCCTTCCGTGTTCACGATGCCCAGCTAAACCAACAAAAAGGGAAGAAATGTATTTGAGTTTCATGTGCCATTACTTATATAGCCAAACCAACACACACAACACAAACACAATTTTTAGTTGGGGCCGGCAGGAGGAAATGGAAATGGATAGTGGAAACCCTCTAAGATAGTCAAATGAGGACTAAGCATAGCAGGGAGAAACAGAAAATTATCTAAGTGGGGAGAATGGAATGGAATCGTTGGGAGTCTCAAACAGAGAATGCTCCATGCCGCAACATTTTGTTGCGGGACCCACTTGTATAACTCTATAAGAACACTTTAAAAAAAATAAGCCCCTCTGATCCTATGGATTTAAGAGAATGGTTCTTTGGATCCTGATTCCTGATTAGCAGCAGCTTGGTCCCTTAAGCAAATATTTTGATGCCCATGCTTACCTTTGCTGCCCCCACTGCGCCCAGGCAGAGGGCAAGGCACATTACTTCCCAGCGACCCATGGTGTGCTCCAAATGGGACTTATTCAGTACAGGTAGGTCCCTTTATACCCCAAACCTGGCTCAACTTATCTCTGCATGGGAAAAGGGAGTGGCACTATCGTCATGGAAGGTTCTAGGGGGCTGCCAAACAGTTTGCTGTAAATTTCCAAGGTAAATGTGGGGTGACTGGGGGGTAACCTTGAGACTTACCTTGACACAGGCTGAGTTCTGTCCCCATCCATTCAACAGCTGGCACTTCTCTCACATCCAAACCTTGCTGTGAGTTATAAAATGAGGAGGTGAGCACAGATGAAAAACTAGGATCAATCCCCACCTTTATGTTTCTCAGAAGGATTCAACTGAAAACAGAACTGAGGGAATTCCAACCTCAGTGTACCCTTTAAAGCAAACATTTAGAACATTCCAAATGTGATCCACACAAACCATTCTTAATGCATGGAAAGAGAAGGCAGGACTCCTAACTCCAGCACTGTCCCCTCTGGCAGCCCTCACCTCCCACCGACAATTTCACAACACTTCTTGACAATTTTATGTGGCCAGATGGAAAACAGAAGGTCTATGCCAGTTATGTGACTTTTGTAACAGAAATACACCACTATCAGACCAAGAAATACGGACTAAATAAGGACACTTACAAACCCCTTGGCTGCTACTTCTCCAAATCTGCACTTTTTTTGCTAACCCAGTAAGCAAACTGTCACCACTAAGGCAGCCACAAGGCCAATGGCCCCATTTGAAAGACTTGTAATAGCCACAGAAGGACAAGACCCAGGTATAACATCCATAATCTATGGCATTCTATTCAGTGCATTGGTGGGTTCACTTGACCCTATTAAACATCAAAGGGAATGTGATTTCGGCTATGAATTTGACCCAGGTCAATGGAATAGACATTGGACAAAAAATCCCTTTAAGTCTATTTTGGCAAGCAGCAGAGAATTACCCTAAAACTCATATACAGGTGGTACCTAACACCCAGGAAGCTGGCAATGCTCCATCCTGCACCTCACCACTTCGCTAGAGGGGCTGCCCCACACTTGGTACATTGTCCATAGTCCACATGTGGTGGAAATGTACAAAAATCCAGCCCTTCTAGAATTCAATTAACAATTGGAAGTCAAATGAGAATTAGTTTTATTAAATATATTACATGATCATCTGAATTTGCATAATATAGAATTAACAAGCCATTTATTACAGGCAGTGAGATGCAACATAACCAGACACTGGAAAGAGCTTTCTGGCACGATGATAGACCATTGGTACAAAACGCGTTTGGGAAACAATCCTCCTTGAGAGAGTTACAAATAAACTACAGTTGACACATGGACAGATAAGAAAAGATGGCTTTACCCCAATGTGGTTTAATTTCATAGCATATGCCAGTATTCCAGAAAATGAACAATTCCCTTGATCAGCATTTGGCTCAATTTGGTTGATCTAAATTTAAATTCAAACATAAATCATTATCTTCACTTTGAACCCCACTCACACGTTCATCGGTATACAAATGCTTTATACTCTTTCACTGGCAACGTAAGAGGAAAAATTACTATTACTCAAACTTAATCTATGCACATTCACAAGGGCTCCTGGTCAGGTATTTGGCCTTCAGGCCTTTGACCTCATCAACCAAGAGGATGCCCACCTAAAGTCCACAAGGGAAGAAGAAGAAGAGTTTGGATTTGATATCCAGCTTTATTACTATCCTAAGGAGTCTCTTTGGCGTCATCTTCAACCTGTTGTTCTCATATGCCTTCAGTTTGACTGAAGACAGTGTGTGCTGTGCGTCCATTCAAGGAGTGGTGGGAGTCCGTTCAACCTGGCACATCTCCATGCCAAGGCAGAAGTGTGGCAAGTTCTTATCCAATATATATTGTTCATAGATGACACAGCCTTGACAGCACACTCCAAGGAAACTCCACAGAAACTCATCAAACATTTTGCCCAAGACTGTATAGAGTTTGGCTTCATCATCAGCCTGACAAAAGACTAAAATCTTAGGTCAGGACATCACCAGCACTCCATGCACCAGCCCTGGTGACCACACGTTTGAGGTGGTAGAGCTGGACAGGTGCATTAGTAAGGTGGCTACGGCAATGGCTTGCCTCTCCTAAAGGATATGGGAGAATGAGATGCTAACCAATGCCAAGATGAAGATCTACCAGGCTTGTGTGTTAACCAGTTAGCTAAGCTTTCATTAGAGGAATATTTAGCAAAACCTCTCAGGATAAGGTATCTCCAGCCCCATTACTTGCACACTTGCCATGTCTGCAGAGCTCAAGGATAAACAGCCTTACTCATCATAATCTTCACCCCCAAATCAGTATCAAAAAAGCACACATAGGTGTCTGTAAAGAAGAGAAACCAAAGATGAGTAGAAGAGACATGGATGGGTTCTTGTCTCATTAGGCCTGGCTTCCTGTCTTGCCTGTAGGGAGAAGAGAAGCAAAGGTCCTTGCCAGGAATAGGTCCACAGTGCCAGTTCTGGTGCATCACACATAGTCCAGAATCTCTGTCTCCATCTCATTCTCACTTCCATCAGATGGTTCTTTGAACTCCTCCTCTTCTTCCTCCTCTTCCTCTTCCTCTCCGGACTCAAACGCCAGCTGCTCTTTCCCCTCTTCTGTGTTCGAAGTGCTTGTGAACAGAGCTGGAGCAAAAGATGGGGAAAGAGATGAAGATAATGTCAGGGATGGCTGAGGAATTCCACTGGGGCAAAAGGGGTGGGGCGGGGTAGCCAAAGGTCAGTCAGAATTACTCCCTCAGGGGTCCCATCTGAAGGAAACAGAGAGCCAGCAGTGGCAGGAAGAAACTTATTTCCATTGTAATTCCAAAAGCAGTTATTTCTCCCTCCAACAAATATGTGTATCTAGGGTTGTTAGTTGATTTAGTAAATCTTAATTGATTATGCATTGTTATTATTCAAATTTATATTCTGCTTCTCCTCCGAGGAGCTCAAGGTGTCTATTATGCTAAGACAAACAATGTGTGACAGGGATTAAGCTGAGAGACCTAAAGGCTGATCTAGTCCAGGACTCTCTTTGTCACAATGGCCAACCAAGTGCCTCTTTTAGGAAGCCCACAAGCAGCACCTAGGCACAACGGCACTCTCTGCACCTGTGATTCCCAGCAACTGGCACTCAGAGGCATCATGCTGACAGTGGAGACATGAGCTTTGGTAACCAGCCCAAGGTCACCTGGCAATGAATTTCAGTCAATCAAATGGATTGATTTTTATAAGCCTAAGCTACATTAATAAAATGAACCTGGGTGGAGGACTATATGTTTTCAATATATTGAAAAGACATCCCTAATCATACTTTTAAAAAAATAAAAAATCCAATACAAGTAATTTAAGCTGCAAGCGGCAGGAGCTATCTTAGAAGAGCCACACAAGCTGTCCCAGGTCAGGTTAACATTTGTAAAAACCTGGATTCATTGCCAGGTTCCGACCTCCCTTGATTAATAGTATATTACCAGGCCTTTTGGAGCGGATGATCTGCTTTATCATCAGAGACATGGTATCCCGCAAGTCATCACTGGTCTTGGGAAGACACCAGCCGTCCCTCTCTGTACACACCATCTCCATGCCATCATTCCGGCGAATGATCTTCTGCAAGCTGAACAGAGACTAGTCTCAGAATCTCTCTTCCCCCAAAGGACTGAACAAATTAGGTCTGACTCCCTTGTGAAGGTTGACCCTGGTCTCAAAAAATAAACTGAGGACAAAAAGACTCTGGATGTGTCAAATCATCAGTGGAAGAACCAACAAACCCATTAAATGTAGATTTTAAAAACCCTGCTCCCTGGTAATTGTGGGTTCCTGTTTCAAAGGAATGCTGGGAACTGCCTAAGAAGGGGAAACAGAGGTACTCTCTCCTGAAGGTTCAATGTTTAAGGAGTGCAAGCCTTCTCCTCCCCCTACAGTCAGCTGAATTTTTGTATTACTGCAAGGGTACCCATGGAAAAATTCAGAGCAGGTTTTGCTTGAAGGGCCACCACAGCGGGGAGCACACCTTTGAGGTTCAGACAGACATACAAAAGACATGCATGAACACAGACATAAATTGCCCCCCCAAGTTACTTTAGAGCCCCTTTTGATCAAGCACAAGTACCATTCCACATTCAGGTCACAAAGCTGATAGAACATCTGTCGATAGGGAGGCAGGGAACCTTCTCGGAAGATGTAAATCGAATCCTGAGAGAGGAAGAAGCAGAGGGACTGAAGACACCAAAAGACAATGGAACTGAAAGTAAAAATGTTTCCACAACGGGACCCTCTGTTGCTGACTTGACTGTTGGAGAAAACCCTTAGCTCCTCCAAAGTCAGGCTGTCACCCCAACTTCCTCCTCTTGTCCAATACAGAACCCACAAAGAGTCCTCATGGTTGTTATATTCAATCTCTTCCTCCCCAAACCGCCACATCTCCATTTCCCAGAGCAGCCCTCTGGACTTGAACAGGGCAACTGAGTCTCTCTTGCATCAACCCCAAGAATTCCCACCTCCACAGTGGCTAAAGACAGGAGGATGAATTTATACTATTGGGCATTTTGCCTTTAAGCTGCTACCCATTTCTTTCACGTGACCAAATTTCCCCAGAGGAGACAAAGTGTCAGGAGACAGATCTTCCTAGTACGCCACAAGAGGAGAAAAAAAGGTGAAGTCAGGAGGAAAAACAAGGAGGAAGTCAAATACCTACTTTAAGTTTATACTTGCTGAAAGCAGATTTCCGTGGACTGGACATCCCAGAGGTGCTCAGTCCTTGCTTAAGGTCCTGGATGCCAACTACATGGCTCGCTGCAAAGGGCAGGAAGAGAGTCCCCAAATCACATGTTGCACAGCAACTTAAGAGCCTGGCTGCTGGATCAGGCCAAAGGCCCATCTAGTCCAGCATCCTGTTCTCACAGTGGCTGACCAAAAGCCTCTTCTAGGAAGCCTCAAAGCAGGACATGACTGCAACAGCAACTTTCTCTACCTGTGATTCCTAGCAACTGGCATTCAGAGGCATATTGCCTCTGACAGTGGAGAAAGAACATAGCCATAATGACTAGCAGCCATTATGGCTATGATTAGCTTTATTCCTCCATGAACTTGTCAAATTCTCTTTTAAAGTCATCCAAGTTGTTGGCCACCACTACATCTTGCTGGAGAGAATTACATACTCAAACTATGTACTGTGTGAAAAATTGCTTTCTTTTGTCTGCCCAGAACCTGTCAACATTCAGCTTCATTGGATGGTACCCAAGTTTTAGTATTATGAGAGGGGGAAATTTAACTTCTCTCTATCTACTTTTTCTTGACTGACACCAAGGATGGAAGAACAAACTACAACATGACAACCTGTTGATCTTGTTTTATAATGTTGTTTAGTCGTGTCCGACTCTTCGTGACCCCATGGACCAGAGCACGCCAGGCACTTCTGTCTTCCACTGCCTCCCGCAGTTTGGTTTTATAATAATAAATAATAAATGCTCTGCAGCACCTGGTAACTACTGGTTCTGTGTGCAACTGGCAAAGGAATATATGAAGCTGCCTTCTATCAAGACAGACCACAGATCCATCTGCCTCAGTACTGTCTGCAGACTGGCAGCAGCTCCCCAGGATTTCAGACAGGGCAGTTTTCCAGCCCAACCTGGGCAGAGTGGAGATTGATAGTGGGGTCTCCTGCATGCAGAGCATGTGGTCTACCACACAGCACAGATGTCAGCATTTGAGAGGCAAGTATCTCACAAAGGCTGATGAACTGGCCCACCCACCAGAGGCCACTTTTGACAGGCAGATGAAGCCACCTACCTGTCAATCACCTGGTGTCATATGATGTCAGGTGATTCAACTTCAAAGGAAGAACTGAGAGTGAAATTCCTTCCTTCGTTTGCAACCCCAGCTTTAATTTCAAGCTGCATCTGAAAAGATCCCTGCTGAAAGCAGGACTTGCAATCAGTGCTGACAGCAAGCCCTGTTTTCAGCAGGCGTCTGCTCAGGAGCCGCAAAAGGGAGGTTCATCTCATTCAAAAATTGTACCAGGATCAGAGAGAGCCAGAAAAGACACCCCTGCAAATTGATGGAAGAAATCACAATTGTTTAATTCACTAAACAAGATAAAGAAATATCTACCCACCCTCTTGCCTGTACCACATACCTGGTTTTTTCACGGTGATGGGCAGGCTGTAGTTGTAGGTGCTGCGTTTAGCTTTCACCGGCATGTCATTAGGAGCGTACCCTAGGGGAAAATAAAACAGGTCTGTGGAGGCAGAAGAGATGATGGAGAAGAGCACCTCTCAAAGAGAAACAAATTATACCAGGAATTTTAAATAGATATATATATTTGGCAGCTTGGTCCTTTTGTAGCCTAGACCTTTCCTCTGCCCCCCACCCAAAAGGCACTGATAGCAAAGAATACAACAGTACTCTGATGGCCTGCTTCCATTTTTACCGTATTTCATTCCACAGCGAATTCTGAAATCCAGGACCTGGTAGAACTTTGCTTCTGGGTGTTCCCTGGGATCATAACCAAAGCGGACCCACAGGCTCCTCCAGGGTCCAGTTAGCTACAGGGGCAAACAGAATTACAAGAATGTGAGGCTCTAGTTTTGATGCTTTTTTTTTTTTTTTGAATCCTTGCATCCGAACATAGGATTGAAATAACCTTTTTATTAAAAAGCACTCTCAGATTAAAAAAAACATTGCAACACCACAATCATTTTAACAACAGCTGCAAAAAAAATGTACCACGATTTTGCTGCTGTCAAGACCTTAAAAAGCAGCAAAGCTTTAGATTTTCAGGTTTAGGAAAATGGGAAGGAAAGGAAATTGTGCACAGAAAGGCCATTTATGGCTGGCCCCTGTCATTGCCACCATCTAGATTTTACTTCTAGAGAGTGGAGAAAAATGTCTCATTTCAAAACTTTATTTCAAAGTTATTTCAAAATTTCCCAGAACACCAACTCTCGCACCACAGCAGAGGGGGTCTGTGGGCAATTTTATGAGTGCTGAATAAAGAAACTACTGTCCTGGGCTCCTTTGGGAGGGTGGGCGGGATAGATAAATCATACAAATTAAAAAAACAAAAAACCTTTTGATTCCTATTTCTTTTAAACTGCATGCTGTTTGTATTACGCTGTTTGTGCTCTGTTTACTTGTTATCTGCTCTGAGACCATTAAGTAAAGAGAAGGATATAAATGCTTTGAATGATTGAATGAGAGCTTTCCTGACAATAACAAAATAGGGGGGAAATGACAATACCCCAGTAAAAAAATTGCAGCTTTCAGGAATGGAGCACTGCCAAGATGGAGACAATTTAACATGTGCTTTGGAAACTTGGATGAATGAACCGCATCACAGGTGGGGAACCTCAAGCTCAAGCCCCGAATGCAGACCTTCAGTCCTCTCTACCCAGCCCAGAGGACACTTCCCAGGTCATGCCTCCCCTTATGCCACACATCCCTCAAGTGCTTTTGCTAGGTTGGACTGTATCCTTGAACTGCGGCAATGGTTCTTATATATCTGGAAGGAGAAAGGTATGTCTGTATGTGTAGAAACCAGGGGCTTTTGCATGGTTGGAATGCAGCCTATTGTACAAGGGCAAGAGTAACACCCATTGAACATGAGAACATAAGAGGTGCCCTGCTGGATCAGGCAAATGGCCCATCTAGTCCAACATTCTGTTCTCGCAATGGCCGACGAGATGCCTGTCTGAAAACCACAAGCAGGGCCAGAGCACAAAGGTATTCTCCTGTCCTACAGTTCCCAGCAACTTCTACTGACTTTTGCCACCGGCCACACCTCTTTGCCTAAGGCTCCTAAAGAGCTGCCTATGAGCTAAAGTGACCCCTGGGCTGAAAAGGGTTCCCTGCCTCTGATATAAGTTGCCTAAGAAGGCCAACAATTTATTTACATTCTGGAATATATTACTGAGTGCCCCACCCCGCCCAAAAAAAATTCTTCCCAGCTGCATGCTTTCTGGCAACTACATTTGATATCTACTGCATTTACTAAATAGTGAACATTTCAATCCATTGTCACTATATGAGCTGTTGGGAACTCTTTTTAAGAAAGCAACACACACAAAACATAATGCACTCACCATGTAGTAAGCTAAGTAAGGCAGAAGGAACTTGAGCTTGTCAGGGTGGATGCTTATATTGGCTTTCACAGCATTACGAGACCAGATTGGGCGGACCTCAAACAGCTACAAAACAGAAATGCATACAAGAAAGGGTCTAACTATAACCCAAGGCTGGAAGGATGTGAAGTATAAAAAGACTCTGTTCATTGTTTCCTTGGAAAAGTTAATTCATGAACTTAAAGCTGCCAAAATTTCTGGCTGCACCAGATGGGTGTGTGTGTGTGTGTGTGTGTGTGTGTGTGTGTGTGTGTTCCATTTGGATAATAACAGTGCATTAAATAATAATAACAACAAAACCATTAATAACAAATTAGGTTCCACAGGCATTCTATACAAAAATAGAATGTTTTCCACATACAGTTAAGTAAATTGTTACTAACATTTTCAGCTTTGCCTTGTTTCACCATAAAGATATCATGCGTGTGAAAATTGTGAATACACTTTCTACAAAGCAATCTGAGCCTGCAGAGCTTGTAGCAAGACAGTCCTTATTAACATAGGTCAAGAAAGGACCGCAAACACTTTCAAATTTGTTTGCTTTGGCAAGTCCTTTGCACTTGATGCCAATATGCCAAGCATTCAGGAAGAGCCATGTCCCAATATGGGGGCCTTTCTTGACCCATACAATGGATTGCCTCGTTCCAGCAAAGTATGACTTTATTTGAAAGGATTGCTGGACTGATCTGGCCCTTTGTCTCCCCCTTGGGGCCCTTCAAACTTTTTCTTTTCATGCCGCCTCACTAGAATTAGTTGTTGGTATCCTTGTAGTCTCGTTTTTTGATGATTTGGTGTTGTTAGGGTTTCGTATGGCTTTTCTACAGAATATACTTTTTGTTCTGATGCCCTTTTTATAAATGTTCTGTACATGCTATACAAATAAAATTATTGAAAGTGGGGATAAAAGATTTCCCTCTCAACCAAGAAAGGTACTCTCAGCAGGGAGCTCCAGGCAACCCTGGCTCTGATGTCCCAAGTTTCCAAACATGTCTTTCAGTGTGTGAACAGACCCCAAAAGGTGTGTCTACCTTCCTCAGTTCCTCTTCTGCTTTGTGATCCACTGCATTGCTGCAAACTCTCCTCCAGGTCTGCTCTGCAGCGTCCAAAGGCTTCATGGGGATCTCCTCATCCTCAAAGTTGATAAAGATGGCGTTGTGGGGCCGACGAGCCCGGCTGAGACCTATCAGGTTTTCGCTGGACAACGTGGGGTTCTGATATCCTTCCCTGCAGGGGAGGGAAACAGAAATTACAAAAATGAATCCCATTCGACTCAGTTGTGTGAATTTTGGATAATGCTTGCTTTTTTGTTTATGACAACTCAAATTGAAAATTAAAAAAAATTGAAAAAAGGTAATTTTCTTTCTATTTTTCTTTTCTGATGCCCCCTTTTAAACTGCTATCTAAACAGAGAATTTCTAAAGAGGCAACCATGAATCTGTTCATTAAAAAGACATGAATTTTGCTAAGTGGTGGGTTGATTGCCTGCATTTATATTTATTTGTTTTATTATTATATTTATATTCCACCTTCTCTCCAAGGAGCTTAAGGTGGTGTACACACTTCTACCACATCTCCATTTTATCCTCACAACAACCCTGCGAGGTAAGTTAGACTGAGAGTGAGTGACTGACCCAAGGTCACACAGTGAGTTTTATGGCTGAGCAGGTACTTGCACCCTGGTCTCCAAAACCCTAGTCCAGCACCCTAAGCTCTATATCACACTGGCGTCTTCAATTGTGGAACTCAGGATGGTGAGCATGGAGCCGCCGTGTGTTGATGAGACTCAGAACTCAGCCCTTCCCAGATCTGGAACTTATGACCTCCTCAGTTTGAAAAATAAAATCACAAGTTCTGTTCAGCAGAACACTTGCCTTCAGTGTTCCATGGTGGAATGCTAACATGGATGGGGGCCTCTTGAATTTCAACTTCTTTAGTAAGGCAGCAGGCCAGTTTAATAAGACTCCATTTAATGTTGGATTTTGTCATTAAAGAACTGGAGAGAATCTGTTGGTGTTTTATACTGTAATTTGTTCAGGTTGCCTAGACAGTTTGACTCTTCCTTTATTAATAACTCTACCCAGTAGACCCACTAAAACTTGACATTTTTCTTCCCTTGTATTACTGAAAAGTTAGAGCTATATTTCTTCAACACAAATTATGAAAAGATTCTTCCACACTGCCCAATGTAACCTGGGCCCAAAGGTGCAGAGCCATGCCAAAAAGCAACCAGAAATGAAGATTGAATAAGAGGGAACGAGAGATTTGAAATTTGGCCCCAACTTCCTATAAACCCTTAAACAAATCTACTCCAAGTCTTCAGCATTGTTCCCAGCCCTATCCTGGTTAATCCCGCTAGCCTACCACCCACAGTTCCACCATCCATCACAAAGCTTTCAAGTAAATGTATGGCAAGCCTAAAAGGCTATACCGCCTAAAAGACTTGGCAACCCCACACCGTCACAAGAAATACAGAACAAACTAATGGACAACCAAATATCCTGACTGACCTATCATCAACTACATGCATTCTTAAACAACCCAGAAATCAAGTCAGCAACCACTAGGCAATTGTCAACAGAGGGACACAGCAAAGGGACAGTATCGGCAACATATAAAATACTATTCCAAGACACTACAGGTCCCTCACCAAAATCAAAGACCAATGGGAGCATGACATAGAGTATGAAATAAACTCAACCCAATGGTCGAGGCTGTGGACCAATCCCCTCTTTAGAAGGGAACTCACTTTGAAAGTTATTTACAGATGTCCATTAATTTCAGTGGATCTACTTTTATCACCCACTGTGTTCGTGGGGCTTACGCCCAGGAAGTGTATATAGGATTGCAGCCTTATTCTGCCTGCCCTAAATTTTATTGGTTTATTACCATAATTCATTCATTCAGCTAGCTAAGGCAAATAAGTACCTTGCTGGATCAGATCACGAGCCACCTAGTCCCACCTATTTATATCCCTTCCCATAATACAGCACTTGAAATGGGTTCAAAACAGATACTGGAGGAGCAATCCTCACAGTTCCCTAAGAAGGAGGACTGATTGTTAAACCAGAAACTATTTAACTGTATAGTGTATAGGATATGAGGCTAAATAGATTCTCCTTTTTTTGTCAGTTTGTGGGGAGTCTGGAGGGACCTAATAATGGGAATCTTGTTATCGTGAATTAACCTTATTTAAAGAGGGAAAAGTGGAGCTTTGCAATCTTGAATTTAACTGAAATCTTCTACATGCAGTCATGGTTCATCTGAGAGCAGGCTGGGTGGGAAGACTACTGCTCCTATTTTTCAAGGCTGTTTGGAAATTACCTGACAGATAGCTGAAACTGGCAAGTTATATAACAGCCAGGGAAGGATGACAGCCAGATAATAACTGGCTTTTACAGCTAAAGGCACTTTTTATTTAACACTGGAATGGGAAATGTAATGACAGTGTCCAACCATATGTTCTCCTTATTGTGAAAGGGGAAACCAAGGTAACATTTTAATGTATCTTGTAGGTATTATTTATTGCAATAAAAATCACAAAAAGCAATCATCGCTTTAACTGTTTTTATGCAAAATTGTTTTTAACTGCTTTTATATTAGAAATTGTTTTGATTATTGATGCTTTTATTGTTAAATTGCTTTCAGATACTTTATAGCAAAGTGAGCTATGAAGAATAACAGTGAGAAAAATCAAAGGTGTTAGCATGAGAAGTGTTCCAAATGTTACCTCTAATGAATTGGAAAGCACAGCCACCTCTTGTCAAATGTCAACAATGTGGCTGTCCCAACCCTGAGATCTGAGCTGCACTGATGAATATCTAAGAAACACATGGACATCAAAGAGAAGTATGTATTTCACTCTCCAATACCTTGTTTCAACTCCTTTGTGCAAACCCAAGTGATTTGAGAGCTGGGTTCATACCTCAATGCCACATATCCAAAAGCCTCTGCATGTCTGTAGCAACTATCAGTTCTGACAGCTGCAACAAGCACATGTTGATTTAACCTAGAAGCAGAGAGGAACACAGAAGTCACTCTGACTTTGTTGTTCCTCCCTGCTGCCAGAAGAAGTCAGGTGCTGCATTGGGCAGGTAAGCAAGCCAGGACAGGTACCAAGAAGGGTGGATAGGGGCTCTCTACAGGTGCCTGTTGCAGTTGTCAGAACCAATAGCCACAACAGTCAATTAGAGACTTCTGGGTGTATCGAAGGTTGCTCCCAGGCACAACAGGTGCAGGGCACTCTTTTGGTCTATGTGAGTAGCACTCTAGGGACTACATGCTAGGCAGTGGTGGGCAGGGCCAAATCTAAAAGAGGGTAGGGCCTGCTGGTTGCAGCATGCTTGGCAGCTGAACAAGAGTGGAAGAATGTAACCAATATCACTCTGGACAGATAGTTTTAAGAAGTTCTTAATTTTGCTGCCTATGAAAAACTAAAACACCATCTGAGAGTCTGGAAAGTTTAAGTGGAGTCTGAAGACTTTGCAGCCATCAGGTGAATCTTTATAAAAAACAGGAAGAGGCAGCCTTTTGCAGAACTTGGGCCAGCTGAATATGACTTTTATGTGGAAATATCCATTATTATTCTATATCTTCGTTAATTTGTACAGGGGACAATGGAAACAGTGAGTGTATCCCTTTGTCAATCTCCCATAGAGCTTCCTATTTTATACTCTGGACCTACACTTCATAAGACACTATTTATTTTTATTTGGTTCCAATATGGTTATATTGTACCATTGAACATGAAAAAGCTGTTTATTGCTCCCCAAAAAAGAATAGGAGTTCCCTTAAGAGGGGAATACCACTTCTTAGATCAAGGGTTGCCCTCCAGATGTTGTTGCACACAGCTGAGAGGCAGGGTTGTGGAGAGGACAGAGCTCAATAAGCTAGTTGGCTGGATATGGGTGCCAAGAAAGCTATGTTTGGCCTGAGGACCAGAGGTTTTTCCCCCTACCGTCCAAGTCCAACCCTAAACTGCAACTATATTCAGCCAACATAGTAGCTGGTACATATATTCATCCTGCCACAGCAGAGACCATTGCTCAGCAGGTGGATTTGCCATCACCTACATAAGAAGGTCGGCGGTTCGAATCCCTGCGAGGGAGTGAGCTCCCGTTGTTCGGTCCCTACTCCTGCCCACCTAGCAGTTTGAAAGCATGTCAAAGGGCAAGTAGATAAATAGGTACCACTCCGGCGGGAAGGTAAATGGCATTTCCGTGCACTGCTCTGGTTCGCCAGAAGCAGCTCAGTCATGCTGGCCACATGACCCAGAAAAACTGTCTGCGGACAAACGCCGGCTCCCTCGACCAGTAAAACGAGATAAGCGCCGCAACCCCAGAGTCGTCCGTGACTGGACTTAACAGTCAGGCGTCCCTTTACCCTTACAAAAGAAGACACTGACCTATGTTGCGTTTCTGGTCGATAGTAATAGTCCACAGGAGTGTCCAAGCGTGAGAAAATGGGTGGAGGGATATAAAGCGGAAGGTCACTCAGGAAGAACTCCTCTTTCTCTGGCTTGAGCATCAGGACTTTGTCATACATGGAGGTCTGCTTGCCATCTGGTCCAGAGTGCACTGCCAAATACTGGAAATCAGACATCCCTGGAGAGAAGGAGGCAAAAGTGTGCAGATCACCACAACAGATTGTTCCCTCACTGCACTACTTAGTGAAACTTGCACAAAAGAAGCAGGCATCTCATTCAGTACCAAATCAACATCTATTAATTTCTTTAAAATGCTTGAATGCTAACATTCTTTGGAACATACTGCCCATACTGAGTCTGACCACTGGTCCATCTACCTCAGTATTGTCTGACAGGACAACCACTTTCTGGTTTTTCAGGAAGGACTCTCTTTCAGTCCTACCTGGAGATACTGGGGATTCTGCTTTGTAGCAACCCAAGAAGCTCTCAGAGTGGCAACTTATGGAGATTTGCACAATGCAATCACATTCAAAATGTTTTGCACATGCAATCAGAAATAACATGGTGCCTGGTGTAGTGAAAATTATAGCATATGCTTTAATAGAGAGCCTACATGTGAAGAGATGTAAAAACTGTGAAATAGTGTGTGGAAGTATATTGTTGTATTAAGAATGTGTCAAGAATGTGCAGGGGGAAAAACTCAGCACTGAGCCAGCTTGATAGAGAGTAGACATCCTGTTCTTATCGCTGAATCAGGGACTCAGATGATAATGCAGGCATGCTTTTCCTCTGAGAGTGTAGCCTAATTTCTACATCTGTGTATAGCTAAGTAGGGATAATGCCTCTATATAAGTAACAACAACAACAACAACAACAACAACAAAATAATAATAATAATAATAATAATTAATAATAATAATTTATTATTTATTATTTATACCCCACCCATCTGGCTGGGCTTCCCCAGCCACTCTGGGCGGCTTCCAAAAAAAATATTAAAATACTGTCATACATCAAACATTAAAAGCTTCCCTAAACAGGGCTGCCTTCAGATGTCTTCAGATAAGCCTGTGTAATTTATAAGACTGTGGATTCTACTTTTGTGAGATCCCAAGAGGCTGTTGTTCTGATCACAATGGTGTATTTACTGAAGAAATCCCTGGTTTATTCAGGCAGCCCCCCCCCACCTTATTCATGGGGTCTCCTTGGTGCCACCAGACAGCACACCCAGTGAGAATCCCTGAGGCAAGGAAGTAGGGCTGAACTGAAATTTACAGAGTCTTATGATGGAGGCAAATCTTTCCTTACTGCAAAGGGGGTGAGGTCCTCCAAATGTTGTTGAGGTACAACATTCATCATCCCTGGTCCTCTCGCCATGCATCTGGAGGACCACACAGGTTCCTCAACCCTGCCTTAGAGAAAGGAATCATTACCTTGAAACTTATAAACTGTGGTAACAATGCCAAGAACTTCTACTTCAAAACTGACATCTTCCTCAAAACCTCCTGCTTCTGTCCGTTTCCTCCTCGTTTTCTTTTTAACTTTCAGCAACATGGAAGATGTTGGGAAGCGGTTGGCACACACAGGGTGGCAGTAGGGGTCCTTGGGGCGGAAGTAGAGCTCGAGTCTTCGGCTGGGGTCAGTGTAGATCTGAAAAGTATGCACACAACCAATAACATAAATAAAGGTTAGGTCATTCTGCCAGCAAACAAGTGAGGAGGAAATAGGTTTTGCTTCCTCCCAACCCAGCATGGTAATGCAGCAGGCTGGGGGCTCTCAGACAAGAGAGGGTGGGCTGGGCTGAAGTGAAGCTGTGGACCAAATGCACAACAAGCTGACCCCCAGGGGCCAGCAGTTTCTCACCCTGAGTTGGATATAATCCAACCCCTACAATGTAGGGTTGTCATATTTCAAACAGTGAAAATCCAGACAGAAAAGTAATTGAGCTTTACAGTGGTACCTCTGGTTATGTCCGCTTCATGTTTCAGGTTACGTCTCGCAGCGACCTAGAAGTACCGGAAAGGGTTACTTCCGGGTTTCGTCACTCGCGCATGTGTAGACACTCAAAATGACGTCACACGCATGCGTGGAAGCAGCGAATCGTGACCCACGCAGACACGGGTTGCATTCACTTCAGGATGTGAACGGGGCTCTGGAACGGATCCCGTTCACATCCAGAGGTACCACTGTATTTGGAAAAGTTGTTGAGATGTGATTTAATTTTTTTGCCAAAGTTGCTGGGCTGTATGGTATGGGCTGACATACGTCTGGAGTTTCCCGGTCAGACACTGCTGCCGACTGCTATATTCTGTATATGGCCGAGAAATTCCAGATGTACGACAACCCTGCATGGCTCACCCCCCCTTTCCACAATCATCCCCACCACACAGAACAGCAATTCAGATCACCCTTTCCTTTTTAAAATGAGAGATAAAGAAGGTGTGAAGGGGATGTTAAGTATGAGGCTCCCTCTTCCTGCAGGTAGCCAGAAGCCTCTTCCGCGCTGAATGAGCTTCTGTAGGGGAAATATCTCAACAAAGACAAGGGACATTTCTGGAAAATATTCATTTATGATTAGCCATACACAAGCAAGATCCCCAACCTGCCACTTCTTTAAACTGCCATTAAGTCCTTGGAAGATAAGGGTTCAAATCCTGCCCTAGGGGGCAACCTCCCTCACTGGGTTGTTGTGAGGAAATAACAGGAAGAGGGAGAATCATGTACTCCCTTGAACTCCCTGGGGGAAGGTGGGATATAGATGTGGCGATGAAAAACTGATGATGATGATGAGCTAAATGGAAATGGTGTGCGTGCTAACAGTAAAAGCACTCCTCAACTCCCATGGGGTCCAACTTTTCAGCCCTGCCTCTGGAGGCTCTGAGCAAGAAAGAGAGAGATAGAGAGATAGAAACTCTCTGTCACGAAAACTCCCTGTGAGAGAAGAGTTCCACAGGGAACGTGCAGTGTCCGATGTAACCAGGCACGGGTGCCAGGGCATCCGAATGCAGGCTAGCTTGAGACCACCACCACCCCCGCCCTCACGGCAGGTTTGCCTCTCAGTAACCTGAGCAGGAAAAGCCATTCTTCAGAGGACGCCCACTCCCCATCCTTACCCTAGAGACCCCTTCCTCTCCGCCCAGCGTCAGCAGCGTCTTGTCCACGTCCTGCACAACGCCTGGGTACTCCACGCACACCAGCCTCTTGTCGCGGTTCAGCCGTGAAGTCGCCGCGTCCGCCCCGACGGCCGGAGAGCAGCAGCCTGCGCCTCCCTCGGCGCTGTCTCCCCCGACCATTTTCCCCGCCAGGAACCGCCACAGTCGCTCTCTTCAAAAGCGTCCTCCCCTCCGCGTCGCGTAGCAACACGGTGGCGATCGCAAAGGTTCCAGGGAAGAAAGGTTCCGCCTATACATATACAGTAGATTCTATTTTTTCTTTTTCTTTTTGGTAGGGGGTTCTTTTGTGGGGGGAGGGGGGATGGTAGCCTGCACGATGCCCGAGTCTCTTCTAATTCCTGGGGTCGTGGATCCAGCAAGGGATCTAAAGGTATTTCTTTTGCTGCCAGGGTGTAGAAAGCCACTTTGGCAAGAAGCAAAGAATGTTTGTGTTCTCTTTTTTTTCTTTTCTGAGGATTAGGAGAAGGAAAAGTGGACATCAATTTTTAAAATTAGTTTTGATTAAAGACCTTTTCTGTGGGGCTTCAGACATGTGGTTTATATATACAGTTATGAACATTTATTTTTATATATGACCTTAAAATTATAATAACACGGGTACAAGTTGACACCCTAACATCCAACTTTCTATGATCCCCTCCAAACCAATGCCCAGGTTTTGTGCTAGTTTTGTGCCATAAAGTAAGTGCTGCTTTCTGTGCTGTTCCCCCCAACCTGCCAGGATCCCTTTAAGGGCAGATAAAGATTAAAGGCACAAGGAGAAGGTGACAACAGAGGACAAGATGGTTGGACAGTGTTCTCAAAGCTACTAACATGAGTTGGACCAAACTGCAGGAGGCAATGAAGGCCAGGAGTGCCTGGTATGCTCTGGTCCATGGGGTCACGAAGAGTCGGACACAACTAAACAACTAAACAACAACAACAACAGAACTGCATTCACAGAAAATCTGAAAAACGTAAGCTTTTAATTTTTAAATTTTTCTTACAACTGCAGAAAGAGTATTATATGGAGCCGGTTCCACAGATCAAAGCAGCCAAGTTAGCAAATACAGTATTTCTGAGGGTCTGATAGTGTTGGCACATTTACTCTGCAGGAGAGAGGGAAAAGGTGGCATCAAAGGTAATCAGGAAGCCCTATCTATTGGAGTGTTGATTTGTTCCCTTTTTAAGTCTGTTTATTCACTTCATGAACACCAGGGTGCACTATTTGACAACTATCAGTGACACAAGAGGCACACTATACAAGGGTTGTTGTTGTTTTGTTTATTAGATACAGCAGTTGTTTTGCACATTATTTTCTGGTGCTGGTTCCTCCTAAGTTTTTCAGGGGGTCCTCAATTAGTAATGGCAGGCAAAATTACCATACTTTACCTACTGTTACTGATCTTCCTTGAAAACTTGCACCTTGCTGAAACTGAGGGTGAAGAATGATGTAAGAATTCAAATGTAATGGGAGAGTTTGAGCACACATTTGCTAAGACTGCACTTAAAATATTACAGTGGTACCTCGGGTTAAGTACTTAATTCGTTCCGGAGGTCCGTTCTTAACCTGAAACTGTTCTTAACCTGAAGCACCACTTTAGCTAATGGGGCCTCCCGCTGCCGCTGCGCCGCCGGAGCACAATTTCTGTTCTCATCCTGAAGCAAAGTTCTTTTTTTTTTAAATAATTTTTATTAATTTTCCAGACATGTAATAAAAACAAACAATAAAACAAAACAAAACATACAAACAAATAAACATGTATAATTTCATAAACTCATATTCCTTCACCTTATTTCCCGGACTTCCCCATACCTCCCTTTTTCTGCATCCTTATTTTTCCCTTTTGACAGCAACCCTCCATTTAATTAATTAACTCATCTTCTTTATAATTCCCTTAAATTTATGATTTACAGCTGCAATTCTCTGTTTCTTAACACCATAACATCTCAGCACTCCTCAATGTTACAACAATTTTTAAGGTATATTTTAAATTTCTTCCAATCTTCTTCCACTGTCTCACTCCCCTGGTCACGGATTCTGCCGGTCATCTCTGCCATTCCCATGTAGTCAATCACCTTCGCTTGCCATTCTTCCAGAGTGGGTAGCTGCTGCGTCTTCCAATACTTTGCCAGAAGAATTCTTGCTGCTGTGGTAGCATACATGAAAAAAGTTCTGTCCTTCCTTGGCACCAATTGGCCCACCATGCCCAGGAGAAAAGCCTCTGGTTTTTTAGAAAATGTCCATTTAAGGACCTTTTTAATTTCATTATAGATCATTTCCCAGTAGGCTTTAATCTTCGGGCAGGTCCACCAAAGGTGATAGAAAGTACCTTCAGTCTCATTACATTTCCAACATTTATTATTGGGCAAATGGTAAATTTTTGCAAGTTTGACTGGGGTCATGTACCACCTATAGATCATTTTCATTATGTTTTCTCTCAAAGCATTACAAGCCGTAAACCTAACACCAGTATTCCATAACCTTTCCCAGTCATCAAACATAATGTCATGACCTATGTCTTGTGCCCATTTGATCATAGCTGATTTTACTGTTTCATCTTGTGTATTCCACTTCAGCAGCAAATTATACATTCTTGACAAGTTCTTAGTATTGGGTTCTAACAGTTCTGTTTCTAATTTCAACCTCTCCATCTGAAAACCTATTTTCCTGTCCTGTTTGAATACCTCGTTTATCTGAAGGTAGTGCAACCAATCTCGTACTTTAGACTTTAATTTGTCATAACTCTGTAATTTAACCCTTTCACCATCTTGCTCTAAAATTTCACAATATTTTGGCCATTTGGACTCCATATTAAGTTTTTTTGTCTCTTTAGCTTCCATTGGTGATAGCCACCTGGGAGTTTTACTTTCCAGTAGATCTTTGTATCTTATCCAAACATTGTATAGTGCTTTCCTGACAATATGGTTTTTAAAACCTTTATGTATTTTTACCTTGTCATACCATATATATGCATGCCAACCAAATCTATTGTCATACACTTCCAGATCCAAAATGTCTGTGTTCTCAAGAAGCAGCCATTGTTTCAGCCAGCAGAACGCTGCCGATTCATAATAAAGTCTCAGGTCCGGCAGGGCAAACCCCCCTCTATCTTTTGCATCAGTTAAGATCTTAAAGTTTATTCTGGGCTTTTTGCCCTGCCAGACAAATTTTGATATGTCTTTTTGCCACCTCTTGAAACAGTCCATTTTGTCCAGGATCTGGTTTCTCTTCAGATCGTATAAATCTTTCGCCTTTTACTGAAGCAAAGTTCTTAACCCGAGGTAATATTTCTGGGTTAGCGGAGTCTGTAACCTGAAGCGTATGTAACCTGAGGTACCACTGTATACCTATCTTCACCAGAGCTGAGCATAAGAGCATAAGAAGAGTCCTGCTAGATCAGGCCAAAGGCCCACCCAGTCCAGCCTCCATAGGTGCTAACTCTCTGTGGCCCTGGGTGACATCCATGACCGCAGGCACCCACGGTCGCACGGTCCTCCAATAGTTTGTCCAGTCCTCTTCCAGGTGTGTTCAAAAAGGTGGCCACCACTGCATCTTGTTGGAGCAAATCCCACCATTTTATCTATGTGCTATGTGGTGAAGTACTGTGGTGTGAAGCTCTGCGACAGGGCGGCTTTCTGGAATTCACCCTATATATGAGGAAGGAGAAATTTTACAGTTTTCTGTCCAGAATGTCTGATTATTCTGCATAGTGCAGAAGCACTATGTCAGGGACCCAGAGACATTGTGGGGGAATTAAAATGGTAGGCTGCAGCCACAGCCACCAGCATACAGAGCAACTCAAAGCCCATGTGACTGTAGCAGCAGGGAAGGTGGTATCCTCTCCGGTGTATGTATTATTCATAGTTAATAACATTATTTCTTATTGTACACTGCTTCGATATATGCAGACTGTAAAGCAGTTTCTAAATGTGTAACTTAACAACAATAACAATGTTTGGCCTGCTGTTTGTTTCCCATCTGCACAACCTGTCCATTTTTAAATATATAGGAAAGGCCATACTCAAGTGACAGAGCATCTGCTTTGCATGCAGAAGGTCCCAGGTTCAATCCCCACTGGGAGTTCAGGGCCAGGCTGGGAATGTTCTCTGCCTGAAATCCTGGAGAGCCACTGCCAGTCAGCTCTTAGCCAGATGGCCTGATTTGATTCAGTGTAAGGCACCTTCTTACATTCTTAATTGAACAATTTATTTCCAGAAACATCAGAAGTCTCCAGTGCTCTCTCCCCCCACCCAAAAGGAAACCAACGTTATAAAAGTCAACCCCTGGAACTTGCTGCCGCTTGAGTAAGTTGTGTGCATGATAAGGTAAAGGTAAAGAGACCCTTGACTGTTAGGTCCAATCGCGGACGCCTCTGGGGTTGCGGCGTTCATCTTACTTTACTGGCAGAGGGAGTTTTTCTGGGTCATGTGGCCAGCATGACTAAGCCGCTTCTGGCGAAACTAGAGCGGCACACGGAAATGCCGTTTACCTTCCCACCGGAGCGGTACCTATTTATCTACTTGCACTTTGACGTGCTTTCAAACTGCTAGGTTGGCAGGAGCTGGGACCGAACAATGGAAGCTCACCCCGTTGTGGGGATTCAAACCACCAACTTTTCGATCAGCAAGCCTTAGGCTCAGTGGTTTAAACCACAGTGCCACCCACGTCCTGTGTGCACGGTACAATATTATTAATAAGTCTTGCTAGTCATGATGTCCTGACCACCTAATTTCGCCCTTTTTGTATTTCAACTCTCCTCCCGTCCACCTGGGCAATCTGACCTTGTGATTTGTTCAGTGTGGGGCTTCTGTTTCTTTCCTCAGAGAAGATTTTGCTGAATCACCGGGGGAGGAGAATTCAAGGGACAAAAAGGCAAGTGGCAGGGAGCGATAACACGGTGGCCTTGAGGCTCAGTGGATAGCAAGTTTAGGGCTCTCAGAAGGATTTCAGCTTGACAGCTGAGGAGGCAGAGCGGGGATTTGCAGAGAACTGCTTCACAGCACATAAAATAAATAGTGCACCAATGATATATATATATCATTGAATTGTTAACAAAAAGACTTGCAAATGTAACAAAAAGAAAGAAAATAAAGAGTCAAAAGATTTAAAGCATAGAATGTCACAGCCTAGGACAAAAGTACAAAGACACAACACAGCTCCAAATGGATAATAAAAGTTTTAGCTCATACAAAGATTCACTTTACAAGTAATAAAGATTTATAACAAAAAAGTATTCTCCGCCTATGAGAATAAAGGTTCTATGTAGACTTAAATGAGCCAGACATTTGCATACACTGAAGGCACTGAGTGACCATGTGCCTCCTCATGTGTTTGTGTAAGAAATAAAATCATGCCATATATATTGATAAAAATGCTCGTTCAAGCTCTGCCCTTTAGTTTCTTGTAGTTTATGGGATATCTTGTAAGGACAATTTCATTTTCTCATTTATTATTTATTAATTTACTGTAATTTATACCCCACCCTTCCACCCCAATAAGCCCAGGGTGACAGACAAAAGAGACACAGTTTTAAAACACATTCTAAATTTTATTTATTTATATACTTGCTTTTCCTCAAAGAAGCTGAAGGTGACCTACATTGTTTTCCCTTCCCTATTTTGTCCTCACAACAATCCTATGAGGTAGGTTAGACTGAGAGACAATGACTGGTCCAAGGGCACCTAATGAGCTTTAAAACTGTCTAAAAGCAGTTTCAGTTAAAAACATTCTGAAAGCACTTGCGGTTATAAAGGTTATTCCATCCAAGGATAGCAGAGTCACCAGGAACAGTATTCTGCAGCCACCATATGCCTAGATAAAGAGGAATGTCTTCAAACAGAAAGGCACATATTGCAAGGGAGGGCATTCCACAACCAGGGACCCACCACTGAAAAGGCCTTGTCAGCTGGGTAGCCCCCCCAGTGGCGGCACCACCACCAAGTCCTCACCTGATGATTATAGGGTCTGAGATGGTTGGTATTTGAAAAGGGGCTCTTTTACGTACTTGGGTCCCATGCCATTTGGGGCTTTATATGCTAATACTAATACATTGAATTTGGTCTGCTAGTTCACTGGCAGCCCCAGTAATATTTTCATTATTGGTGTTATATGGTCCCATCAGGCTGACCCAGTTTACAACATAGCAATTGCATTATTCACCAGCTGCAGCCTCCAGTCTATCTTTAAGGGCAGCCCCATGTAATAGTTCAAGGAGAAGGTCAATAGAGAGTGGACAATTGAGGCTATATTTCTGTATACACAGAGCAGCTCCACTCATTAGCCCCAGAAGTGACAGTAAAATCACACCAGTAGGGATGATGGAGAAATTAAATGTGGTTCGCATTTAAAAGTGAATATTTCAAATTTGCACTTTCTGAAACCATATGGGAACCCAAATGCAACACCTTTGAAAGCCGCACTTACCCTAATTTTGCATTGCAATTCTCCAACCAACCAATGTTTACAATCTGCATACACAAGTGGAATGTGTCTGTAAAAATTAATGTATTTGTGAAATCATAGTACATGAATGCATTGCTTTAGAGAAAACTCTGTGCAAAAATGTGTATTTTAGACAATACTGCTTACAAGAATGTGTTTATTAGGATAAATTCATACCATGTGGCCCCTAGAAAGTTGATTAGGAAGGAATGCAGCCCTCAGGTGGCAAATAGTGTGTTCTCCAATGTGTTACGGCACCCTTTGGACTTATCAAACACATGTCTCAGTTGTACAGGAGTAAGTGAGTCAACAGGTGGCTATGGGATGCCGCCACTTGTAGAACTGCTGTATCCAGCTTTGGTGGTGCAATGTTACTCTTTAAAAATATGAAGAGACAAAAAAACGCTTTCTGCTCCAAGAGATAGTTTGCACTGAGCAGAACGGAAGGGGATTCTGGCTCCTCAGCCACAGCCAAAAATGCAGTGAAAGCTCCAAATAGAAAACAGTATAGGAGGGAAGATAAGCTGTCCAGTTTTTGAAATGACATGGAAAAGGAAGTTCGGGGGGGGGGGTGTCATTTACTGGGAGCAGCAGCTTCCACATCAGTCTGCCATGGTATTCAAGTTTGTGTGGTTTGCAAAGAATTATGGGATATGCTCTATGACACACATGCAAACACACATAGTCCATGCAGACATATTTATTATGTCTATTTTTTAAAAAAAGATTTATAAACCTATTTGTCAAAATGAATGGTGCATACATAGCAAAACTCTACACAAAACTCAGCTAAAACAATTAAAAACTAGTAATAGTAATCATAATAATTTTTATTATTTGTACCCCACCCATCTGACTGGGTTGTCCCAACCACTCTGGGCACCTTCCAACAGAGATAAAAACAATAAAACATCAAACGTTAAGAACTTCGCTATATACAGAGTTGCCTTCAGAGGTCCTCTAAAAGTTGCATAGTTATTCACTTTTGTGTATTGGCAATAAGTAATATGAAATAAAAATATGGAATAGACGGGAGGCTGGGTCTTTAGTGTTAAGACCAATATATGTTTTATTGTTTGTTAAGAAAATTATGTAAGGGTGTGAGTCTGTGACCTGGCCCAGGAACTACCGTATTTTTCGCCCCATAGGACGCACCGGCCCATAAGGCGCACCTAGTTTTTTGGGGGGGAAATAACCCCAGGCACGGGGCTGCAGTGGGGGAAGCCCGAGCTTCCCCGGACCCCAGCCCCCAGAACAGGCAGCTCTCCGCAAGCCGTGGGAGCCCAGCGCAGGCTCCCACCACTTGCGGAGAGCTGCGCAAAGCCTGGAGAGTCCGAGAGCGATGGCGAAGTTGCGCGCAGCTTCGCCATCGCTCTCGGAGCTTGCGGGGCTGGAGGTGGGGGAAGCCGGAGCTTCCCCCGATCTCAGCCCCCAGAACGGGTCCCAGAGCGATGGCGAAGTTGCACGCAGCTTCGCCATCGCTCCCGGAGCTTGCCAGGCTGGGGGGATAGCTTCCTGAAGCCTGCATTCACCCCATAGGACGCACACACATTTCCCTCTCATTTTTGGAGGGGGAAAGGTGCATCCTATACGGCGAAAAATACGGTAAGTATTTATCACTACAAAAGAATGGCCAGGCTCTCCAGGCAATCCAATCAAGTAACCTGCCAGACAGGAGATAAATAACAACAGGAGAAAACAAAATTCAAATTTCTGTTTTAAGACCGCCTTTTCTGTGATGTAGGTATGATGTATCTGAGGGGTGGTCTTAGGTTACACCCCTTCTGTGATGTATATATGATGTTTCTGGAGGTGGTCTTGATCTACAGGGTGGCAATTTCAAAAGTCTTTATAAGGCCTTGTGCGCCATTTTTCTGGGTTCCTCCTCTCTCTCCTCTCATCCTGTTGCAACAGATCAATAAAGATCATGCTTACTAGCTGCTTTGCTTCCCAATATTCTCTGGTTGGCCTCTGTTATTTTCTCCTACCAATAGGGAACCTATGTAAGGACTCTATATGGGCTGTTGGATACCCCATAAGGGAAAAGGGCAATTTTTGTTTACAACATTGGTTATTCCTGTGTGTAATTTAGTATTTGTGTTTTTTCTTTTTTCTTGCTGTATCAATATTTTTTTTTAAAAAATAGTTACATAGTTATTTATCTCCTTGACATCAGATAGGAAGGTGAGCGCCTCTGCCTGATTCCTTGTAACTTCACTTCCCCCACCTATTTTATTTCTCCTGTATTATGTTTTGTCATGTTAATAATTTGAATGCTTTGGAATTCAGAGAAACAGGAAATAAAAGGATATATACAAATTGGTTCTCTGGGAGGGGAATGGGTGTGTGTGTGTGTGTGTGTGTGTGTGCACCCCCTAACAACTCTCTGCACCCATAACAAACTACAGCTGCCAGAATTTCACATGAAACCGGTTACAGTTTATAGTGGTATCATAGTGGTTTAAATGTATGATATGAAGGAGGCTTTAAAGAGGATCCAGTCTTTTTGTAATAACTACTGCTCTAAGTGTCTCCCGTCCAAGACTTTCCATGTTTGCCTGTCATGCAGATTTTCTCACCAGCGCCTTCCAATTTGCAAATTTCCCTAGTTGCATAGTGGGCCCACTTTGGAAGACTTTCACCTCCTCCTACACTCCGTTCCCATGTCCTCTGCCTTGCCAATCTGCCTTTTGTTGTGGGGTGGAGAAAGCCCTTTTCTGGATCTCTGTGTTGTGAGACTGGGCTCTGATAAGGCCTAGGGTGACCTATCTTGCCCTGGTAGATCTTCCCCCTCCCTAACAGGCCTGCCTGACAGCCTTGGCAGTTGGCAGCTGGCAAACCCTGATAAACTTATCACCCCAAA